TTGCGAGGCCACTGGAGGTTTGCTTGCGTAGATAGTTCTGTATGCACACACTTAGGCTCTTGTGTGGGTTTCCACTGCTGGCTGGCATGTTTAGGGACATATGTTTCTTGTACATGTGAGCTACGTGTGTGGGGGGATCACTTATCCGAGTAGCCTCTGGGTTGTGTGGGTGGGGGCAGAGTGAGGCAGTATATTTATGGGGTGGACATACCACTTGTCATGGGTGTGGGAGGACATGTTGAGGGAGGGAGTGCATGTAACCCAAGGGTTTCTGTGTGGGGAGGGGCAGCTCCAGAGCAGAAAGGGGTAGGTAGGTGGAGAGCGTGGGCAGAAGCCGCTGGCCGTGCGCAGACCCACGTAGGTGTGCAGACCTGTCGGCGTGTGGAGGATCAGGGCTGGCAGAGTGTGGCTAGGGACAAACCACGTTTTCAAAGTCTGGGTCTTCGAGCCTGGAGAAGATTGGAGAGAGAATACCAGAATCTGGGCAGGGGTTGACGTGCGTGTGAGTGTACATGCGTGTGCAAGCCGGCATACGGGGCGCATGCCTTCTGTGGAGGTAGCACACGTGCATGTTGGCGCCTGTGGCTTTCTTTTTCTTCCCCCAAATATGGCTTGCGAGAAGGTGTGCGTATATGTGTGTGCGTGAGCCTCTGGACTTCAACACGTGTGGGTCTGTGTGGAGGTGACAGCTTGTAGAGGGCAAACTGTGGGACATTCTTAGAATGTGGAAGGGGGTGGAGGCACCTGAGTGCGTAGGTGAGTGCGTGGGACCGAGAAGGTCCGAGGAGGTGTGCGCAGGTCTTGTGTGGCAGGTGTGGGTGGGCACACTTGGTGCATGTGTGCGTGTGTGCGTCTGCGTGTGGGTGTGTAATGCTTGTCTTGGCAGTGCGGCTGTTCCTCAGGTGCTGTCTCAACCTGTCCCTCACACCCCGACCTTCCCCAGTCATGGGCTTGGAGAACTGGGGCTCACACCCACCCTTGGTCCACCCTGGCATTGCTGTTCTCCCAAGTGTCACTCACGGCCACTCTCCCAAGCTAGCACGGGGGAGTAATCTTAGCTCTTCTAGAACTGTAGAAAGGAAAGGATGAGCCAGGTCCTGCGGAGCCCCCCGCCCCGTGGCTGGCCCTGTCTCTGAGGGAGAGTCTGAGGAGAGGAGTATTGAGGCAGAAATAGGTGCCCACCTGTGGGGTGGGCATAGATTGAATCTGCTGTGGGTGGGAGGTGGTCCCTCAGGTCCTCTGTGGGGTGGGAGTGTGTCTGCGTTGGTGTGTTGTGTTGGTGCATGTGTGTGTGTGTGCATGTGGGTGCATGCGTGTATCTCCCTGGGGAGCTCCTCACTGGGAGCCCAGAGGATGGCAACTCCCCCAGTCTCCACATCTGTCCCCATGAATTATAAACTGGTTTATTATCATACAGCTGTTTCCCAATCCTATTCTGCTTTTCTCGGGGATGGACCTGGTAGCACCCCCATGCTTGTTTACCACAGGATTCCCTGCGCACAAGCCACTGACATTTGGCTAAATTTCACGACAGGCAGGCTCATAATTTAGGGTAGGAAGCCAAAAGGAAACATGGGCTCAGGGAGCACCCTGGAACGGGTGAAGGGCATCACCCATATCCTTCCCCCTATGCCTGCCACTCAGGCAGCCCACGGATGAATTTAGAGATACCAGGCTCCACAACAGATTAACTGACAGGCAAGTGTGGGTTGGATCTTCTGGAAGCTATAAATAGAAGTCCCTGCTTTCGAAGGCACAAGGTACCCTCACCCCTCCCGCCTGGGCAAAGAGAGAAGAAGCAGAAAGGGGAGGAAAGGAAACAACATTCCAGAAAGCTGAGGTGTGCTGGGACGGGGCTTGGGAATGAACCGGGAAACCACGAGCTCCACTGGGCACTAAGCAAACGCCCGGGAGCTAGTCCAACCCACGTTCGTGTTCTTGTCCCAGAGACAGTCCCGCCCCGCTCCCTCCCCATCTCTCTTCCCACCCTGTCCCAGAGCCAGGCCACAATCAGGGCCAGAGTTGGCTCTTCCTAGCTAAAGCCCAGGTGAGTGCCAGGGTGTGGACTAGCAGCCCAGGTGGAAGCGAAGGGGTGAGAAAAGAGGAAAGGTGAGAGAAAATGTAGCTACTGGAAAGGGAAGGATAGAAGGAAGAAAGATAAATAACAGTGAAACCATGTGTAGCTACGCATATACACATGGCACGTATCACACACACACTCACATGTGCGCATACAGCCTTTGCTTAATGATAGAGAGTTTGGGCTCTGGGGGCCCCTGGGTGGCTCGGTCGTTAAGCGTCTGCCTTCGGCTCAGGTCAGGATCCCGGGGTGCTGGGATCGAGCCCCGCGTCGGGCTCCGCGGGAAGCCTGCTTCTCCCTCTCCCGCTCTCCCTGCTTGTGTTCCCTCTCTCACTGTGTCTTTCTGTCAAATAAATAAAAAAGATCTGAAAAAAAAAAAAAGAATTTGGGCTCTGGAGTCAGATGTGAGTTCAAATCACTTTATAGCTGCATGACCTCTAGCATCTCGGTATCGCCCCAACCTCAGTGAACTCATCTGTAAAATGGGGATAATAAAAGTACCTACCTATGGCGAGGCTTGCATGAGATGATGCTTGGGCGATTATCGCCACATATCAGCCTGTCGTAGATGTCAAAGGCAAAACGAATTATTCAAACGAGTCAAGCAACAGAGGATCAGCTGAAAGGGAAGAGTGATAGTTGCAAAGTTAGGGGCGGGAGAAGAGCTGTGGCCCATGCTGCCTCCTCCCACCACTGGCATATCCACGTGCATCTCCGTGGCGCTTGGACTCCCAGCTTGGTCTTGGTGACCCTCCCTGAGTCACCCCGAGGGAGAAGGGAGGCCTGAGCCTGAGCGACCTGGCACCCTTGGCCTCTTGGCTGCCAGGGCCCTCTGCCCGCCTCAACCCTCACACGGGTCTCCTCAGTGGGCGCTTCCTATCTCTCCTACCCAGCCTCATACAGTTCTCTCCACCCCCACCCCTTCCTCTTTTCACGCCTGCTGGCTGAGGGCCCCCCTCCTCGGCTCCATCTGCTGTGAATCTGTCCTGCCCCGTGTTTGCAGCATTCCCACTGCCTCTGCCACCTGTCAGGTGCCGTCTGCTCTGCAGACCCCTCTGAGGAGAGCCAAGAGCCCCCCTAGGGGGGATACCCCATCTCACCCTTGGTCCTACCCCTCCATCTTCCCATGCACTCTTCCCATCTGATTTGATGAGGCAGGTGCAATCAGTGGATTTCCAAGGTTCCAATTTGCAAGGGATGCTGGGAACAAGACATTCCAGAAAACTCTGATGGGGAGGAAGGGGCTACTGCTTCCTCTCCCCTCAGTCCCCACAGGAGCCAAGCCAGAGGGGAGCATGGAGCTGCTGTCCACGCCCCACAGCATCGAGGTCAACAACATCACCTGTGACTCCTTCCGCATCTCCTGGGCCATGGAGAACAGTGACCTGGAGAGGGTCACCCATTACTTCATTGACCTTAACAAGAAGGAGAACAAGAACTCCAACAAGTTCAAGCACCGGGTGAGTGGAGGGTGCGCAGAGGGCCTCTTGCTCATACCCCTCCTTGAAGGAGGCAGGGTAATGGAGCGCTTGCTGGTGGGTGATGGTTGGGAGTCCGACAGGCCTGGTTCAAACCCAGGCTCTTCTCCCAGTGTAATCTTAGGAAAGTTATTTAGCCTCACTGAGCCCAAGTTCCCTCACTGGTAAAAAGGGAATAATAATGCCAGCCCCCGCAGGCTTGTGAGAGGCTTCAGTGAGGTAATGTTTGCGTGGTGTCTGGCTTGGGGCCCAGCCCCCGTGAACGCCATTATCAGCATCACGACTTGGGCTTCAGACAGGGCAGGAAAACCTGAGGGGGGCCACAGACATCACACCGGGGGCTGGAGTCTCAGGGTATGACAAAGCCCCCGACTCAGGAAGCAGCTTTATTGTTGACTGTGTGGGCAACATAGGCCATGGGAGGGCTGGGGCCCTTTGCTTGGTCCTCATTGACCCCTCCCTCTTGGGCCGCCGTGATCCTCTCTGCCCCTGGCCCTCCGGCCTACTGGTGGCTGGGTTTAAGAAAGCAGCATGGGAGAGTCCTCTGCTGGCTGGGGTGTCCTTTCCCTGGGTTAAAGCCGGGATGGGGGTGGGTGGGAAGAAGGCTCCCATCTCCTCAAGCTGGCAGAGAGGAAGGGGGAAGAGTGAGGTGGGAAGGAGCTGGTTCCCACGACGACTGCATCATGTGGGTTACTCACCCTCTCTCTCTTTGGAACTGGCTCTCTCGATCTGGGTGTCTTTTGGCAGGCCAGTTGCCACGGTGACGTGAATGTTCAACACCACCCCCTTAACCCTCCCCCCCCAAAGAATAAGGCATATTTTCCCTTCCTCCCTGGCTCTCAGCATTTGCCGTTGCCGTGGAGACGGCACTGCAGTGTGCAGAGCTCTCGAAGTCTCCCTCAAAAACGGAGGTCTCGCCGCCCTCAACTTTTCGGCCTCCACCCCCATGGCCTTTCTCCTTAGTTCCCAAGAGAACGGGCATCAGGGGGCATTACTGAGGGGTAAAGGGCTGGGGGGTATCTGTATGGCCTTCCCAATGGCCACTGCTTGCTTCCGCAGGAAAATGGTGGCCAGGGCGCCGAGCCATTGAATCTCTGAGATTTTGGCCCTCCTCGGGCAGCCTAGGGGCCATCTGGGGAGCGTGAGGTCTGGAGGAATGCCAAGATTGGGCGCGACCCCCAGTTTGACTCTCGGCTCTTCTGCATCCCATTTCTCAGGATGTCCCCACCAAGCTTGTGGCCAAAGCCGTGCCACTGCCCATGACAGTAAGAGGCCACTGGTTCCTGAGCCCCCGCACGGAGTACAGCGTGGCTGTGCAGACGGCCGTGAAGCAGAGTGACGGGGAGTACCTCGTGTCCGGCTGGAGCGAGACGGTGGAGTTCTGCACCGGGGGTGAGGCCGTGCTGTCTCACTGCTTTGACACATCGGTCTTTTTTTTTTTTTTTTTAAAGATTTTATTTATTTATTTGAGAGAGAATGAGAGACAGAGAGCACGAGAGGGAAGAGGGTCAGAGGGAGAAGCAGACCCCCAGCTGAGCAGGGAGCCCGATGCGGGACTCGATCCCGGGACTCCAGGATCATGACCCGAGCCGAAGGCAGTCGCTTAACCAACTGAGCCACCCAGGCGCCCTGACACATCGGTCTTAGTTAGGGTCGGGAGGGGGCTGCGTCTTAACCCAGCAGACGCTATGAGCACCTGCTGAACGCGGGCACCATGCTTCGGCCATCAGGGAGGCACCCCAATGAGATCCGCCCCCGCCCCCCGCCAAGCCCACAGTCTGACATGGAGAGGGAGGGAGGCAGACGTCATCACTGCTAGTTGGGCTGCCAACACCGCTTCCGAACAGGGATGCACTTCCTTTTCGGGCTCGGGGCAAGCATGCTGTTTTGAATTGTGGTAAAATACCCATAACACAAAGTTTCCCGTTTTAACCAGTTAAGCGTATGGGTCAGTAGTATTAAGTACGTTCACAGTGGTTGTGCAACCAATCTCCAGAACTTTGTCATCTTCCCAAACTGAAACTCTACACCCACTGCACGACAGCTCTCCTCCTCACTTCAGCCCCTGGCAACCACCATTTCACTTGTGTCTCTGTAACTTTGACTCCTCTCGGTAGCTCCTGCGAGGGAGATCATGCAGCATTTGTCCTTCTGTGACTGGAGCATTAGTTCCGTTATTTCACTCGGCATCATGTCCTCAAGGTTCATCCATGTTGAGCATGTGTCAGAATGTCCTTCCTTTTTAAGGCTCAATAATACCCCGTTGTATGTATAGACCACACTTTGTTTATCCATGATAGGTCGAAGGACAGTCAGTAAGTAATAATAATAATAATCCCATTTGCTCATCCTGAGCCCCCACTTAGCCTGGGAACCTGACCCCTACTTAGGGGTCCTGCAAACCCTCTTCGCAGAATTAAGTTGGCAAATTCCAGTATGAACAAGCACCAGGCTTATGTGTACCTGGTAATGGATGACCCAGGATCTGCCCCACAAATAGTCCACTCTTTAGGTGTCCACAGGGGGAACCGCTCCAGATCTCTCTCTGTCACAAGGAAGGGGCAGGGAACATTCCTAGCCCCGGGCCTCTGAGGCTGCTGGCTCCATCCTCTGCCAAGGCCCATGCCCTAAGTCTCCTTGAGTTGCCATTCTTTTTCGAGCGGTGCTTTTTCTTAGCTCGGATGCAAAACCCCACTCTGGAGGTGCTCCCACTCCTTGCGGGAAAAGCCTCTTGGTTTACCCCAGAACTCCACATGTAGTGGGAGTTTAATTCAAACTGGGGAGCTGGGGATGGCTGCAGTCCAGTTCCCACTACTCTTGCCAAACCCAGCACCCTGGCCAGGGCTGCATCAGCAAGGAGGAAAGGGCACCTTTTTCTAATTTGTACAAAGGCCCTGTCTTGGCTGGCAGCAGCCCTGCCTGAGCCTCAGGGCCCCAGACGCTGGTCCTGGCCCTGGGAAGTGTCTGGTCTTACCATCCTGTCTCCAGCCTTCCCTGCTTCTCCCAGGATGCCGAAGCAGTCACTGCCTCCGACCCTGCTCTGGCTACCCACTCACGTCAGTGCTCAGCAGGCCCCTCGTGAGCCCCTACCTATAATGACAACTGGCTTCCGTGCGGGTGGTATGGATGGCCTTCTACCTGCTGGATTTGGGGAGCTCCCCCTAGGGGACCTCAAATTCTTCCCTCTCAATCCTTCTTTTGCTTGCTGGTGTTCTTCACATGAGGATGGCCAGGGATCACAGCTCCTGGAGCCCCCAGCATGACTGTCTAACTGGGCAGCCCCTGCCCCTTTCTGACTCAGAGAGCTGAGCCTCTGGCAATGAGAGTGCAGGGGTGATGAGGACAAACAGCATCCAGCTGTCCATGTTCCCAGCTGGGCCACCTGGCTTGCTCCTATGTGGTCCAAGGTGCTGTGACTGTTTGGTATCCCCTGTTGCTCTGAGGACGGAGGTGGGCTGACATACTCCGTGTGCAGTGGGTGAGTGTGGGGGCATGAGGCTGTGATACCCAGCCTGGCCCTTACCAGCCGGGACTCTTGCAGATTATGCCAAGGAGCACCTGGCCCAGCTGCAGGAGAAGGCTGAGCAGATTGCAGGCCGCATGCTCCGCTTCTCCGTCTTCTACCGCAACCACCACAAGGAGTACTTCCAGCACGCCAGGTACGGCGTGGCCCCCAGCAGGGGCCTGGGTCTCGCCTTCCGCCCCTGGCTCTGCTTTGCCTGGACAGCCCTGGCTGTCTGATGTCACGCCCACCTTGTCTTTGCCAGACCCTCCTATGGAGTCCCTATGGCCTCTTATCACAGGCTGGCTCTGGGGGGATGGCTGGCTGCTGGGGATTGGGCTCCAGGGGAGGAGAGAGCTCTCAGGATGGGGATGCCTGGGGGAACCATGCGAACTGGCCTGGGTGAACAAGATCTTGGGTTTGCTCCTCCTTTGGGACAGTTCCTTTCACTGGCTTCTAATGCCAAGGGTCAGCTGTCTCTCCAGTTCAGGCCCTGGGTCCCAGGGGGAGGTGGTGAGGGGAGCACAGGGTGAGAGGATTCTGTGCATGAAGGGTCCTAGTTTTCAAACTGTGTGCTGCGGAGGCTGGAGACTCCAGGGAGGTGTCACAGGGCATTTTAGGGGGGTATTGAGGGGTTGTTGAGGAAATTAGGGTAAGGCTCGGTGGGCCCCACATCTATCGATCAACTGGAGCAGCTTCAATTTCACTGCTTATCAACTGCCTATGTATAATATCTTTTGGGGAAGAAAGAGAGGGGCTCTGTAGTCCAAAAATATTTGATCCAATTGATGATCTGGTCCAACCCTTTCAGCCTACAGATGGGGAGCCTGAGGCGCAGAGAGCCAGTAAGTCACTAGTCACCTGGGACATCCAGGACCTGGCAAGGGTGAAGCCGGGTCTGGGGCTGCCCACCCTCCCCAGGCCTGCTGACACCGCCCCAAGTCCATGTCCTTCTAAGGCTGGGCTAGGGCAACCTGTTAGTCTTACTGTCTTTGTCATTGCATTCAGCTGGGGGTGGGGTGCTCCCACCCTACCCCAGCATGGCAGGGAGCTAATGGGGTCTTTGGTTTTTGTACTAAAGAAGAGAGGCAGCAAGGTGAGTGGTGAGCACACTGGCCCAGTTCCAGCTCCTTTCTCAGCAAGCACGCAAGAGAGAGAAAGCACCCATATGTGCCAGGATGTAAAGATGAATAAAGGGCAGAGTCCCCCCTCTTGAAAACCTCAGAGTCTATCAGCGGGACAGTACAGACAGACGGAATGTAAGAAGTACGTGTGATTGTTGGGTAAAATTCAGTACCTGCACGTAGTAGGCAAAGTTTTGTTGAATACAAGTGCCTGATGTTCCTGATGAAGATTTTGGAGAGGAGGGGACACCTGTGCTGGGCCTGGAAGGATGATTAGGAGTTTGCTGGGCCAGGTGAAGAGAGGTCCAGGGAAAGGCAGTCCAGGCAGAGGGAAGAGCACTGCAAAGGCACAGAGGCAGGAAAGTTGGGGTTCACGTGTGGCTGGAGAATGTTACTTGTGGGCGTGGGGGTGGTGGGAGGTGGGGTCAGAAAGACCAGACCTTGATGGCCTTGCTTTTCATGAAAGCTCCATCAAAGGGTTTTAAGATGGGGAGTGGTAGGTTCAGACCTCTCCTCTGTGAAGGAGTGGCTTGCATCAGCCCATCTCCAGGGCTCTCCCTGCTCTCACATTCTGGAATGTTCTATTTGCGACTGATGGAGGCGGCAGCTGGTGGGAGAGCTGGGAGCTGGGCTGGCTTCCTTCTCAACCACACACAGCAGCCAAGCGTCAGCCCAGCTAACCAGCGGCATTTTCTCTTCCCTTTGGCATTTTTCCCCGGGGTGGGTAGGACCCACTGCGGGAACATGCTGCAGCCCTACCTGAAGGACAACAGCGGCAGCCATGGCTCCCCAACCAGCGGCATGCTCCACGGGGTCTTCTTCAGCTGCAACACAGAGTTCAACACAGGCCAGCCTCCTCAGGACTCCCCCTATGGCCGCTGGCGCTTCCAGATCCCTGCCCAGCGCCTTTTCAACCCCAGCACCAACCTCTACTTTGCGGACTTCTACTGTATGTACACAGCTTACCACTATGCCATTCTGGTGCTGGCCCCCAAAGGCTCCCTGGGGGACCGCTTCTGCCGTGACCGCCTGCCCCTCCTGGACATTGCCTGCAACAAGTTCCTGACCTGCAGCGTGGAGGATGGGGAGCTGATCTTCCGCCATGCCCAGGACCTCATCCTGGAGATCATCTATACCGAGCCCGTTGACCTGTCCCTGGGCACCCTGGGGGAGATCAGCGGGCACCAGCTCATGAGCCTGTCCACTGCTGACGCCAAGAAAGACCCCAGCTGCAAGACCTGCAACATCAGTGTGGGCCGCTAGGGACTCCTGGGGAGCTGGGGGGCTAGGGAGAGATGACAGGCAGGGTGGCGATGGGTGGCATAGGTTCAGGGAGCTGGCTTTCTCTCCCCTGCCCCCCCCCCAGCTCCCTCCACGCCACAGCCTCCCCCTTTCCCACCCCGTGGCATTAGAGGCAACAGAGGGTGTCCCCTTGGTAGGCGTGGCCTATTCACCCCTGGTGGACTTGGTAATGCTTCTTAGCCTCCGTAGGTTGGTGGAAGGAGGGTAGATTTCTGAAGATTTCCCCATTCCTGGTTTCCCTGTCCTGCTGTTTCTTGCTTCATCCCGGCCTCCACCTCATGGAAACTTACAGCCTGGGGGCTGTCGCTGAGCAGCCACCCCGGGCCAGAGCCCAAGTGTTGCTTGCCCGCCCCCAGAGGCGCTGCAGAGAGCTGCGGGTGCTCCTCTCCAGCCCCGCCCACCCCACTCAGGGCCAACCACAGGATACCCCTCCCCTCTGTGCCGGCCCGGGGGGCTTCTGACTCCAGGCCTGGCCCTTTCCCTTTATACATAGTCTCCTGCACCGCTCTGACCCCCCCAGCACCCTCTTCCTGCATGGGGAGAGCTGTCCCTCCCCTTCTCCACCTGCCCTCTAGAAAGGGGCCCTCTTTTTCCTCCTGGCTTTGGGGGCTCCGGGCTGTTGGGACTTTTCCTTTCTCCTCTGGAGATGATGTGTACCCCAGCGTACCTTCTCCCTTGCTCAGAGCACTGAGGTCTGCGGTGGCAGCCACTGGGGTCGAGGAGGGGGCCAGAGACCCCTGAGACCCAGAGGTAACCCTTCTCAGCCGGAAGGGGGCCGCCTCCTGCCCCGAGGGGACCCAGTGTGGAACTAGAATTGAGGGCTTTCCCAAGAGCCCCGGCACCCTGCCTGACTGTGCGCTTTGCTCGCTCTCTCTGCCACGGGGCCGTGACTGCACCCTGCCTGCGTGTGATCGGGACTGTGGCTTCCCTGCCACCGCACCTCACGCCCCGCCCACCGGCACCGTCTGCTGCCCACCGCCAGCCCGTTGGCAGAGAGCCCCTTCCCTGGGGAGTTCTTGGAGATGGCTTCCTGGGCCTCCCAGCGTTTTCGCCTATTTCCTACTTTGGTATGGGTCATGAGGGTGGTGAGGGTGGACCCCTGGGATAAACGAACCAAGTCGGGGGGCAGGTGGAGGTGTGCATGGAGGCAGCTAGCTGTTCAGGGGATGGTGGAGGTGATGGCAGGCAGAGGACAGCAGCCCCCACAGTGACAGCCAGATCCCCGTGATGAAGTACCGAAGGGGCCAGAAGGCCAACAAGGCCATATCTCAGTAAGGGTGCAGGTGGGACAGCTGGTCGCCTCTTGTGTAGCCACAGGGAGTGGTGTGGTCAGCTGTCTCGGTGGCACGGAGCAGGTCTGGGGGCCCTGGGAGAAGCATGGAGGAGAGGTCATGGGCCCCCAGGCCTTTTCCCCCTCTGCTGACTGCGTTGCTCTGGGGGGTGGCCCACTGCTCTCCCCTGGCCCTGTGTCTGTCCTGAGCTGGGGGCACACCCGCCTTGTTGTGCTTGCGACGTGCATCAATAAACCACCATGGCCTGAGAGCCCCGAATCTCTTTGAGCTCTGGGAGGGGTGGGGTAGGCAAGTTGTACAATCACAGAGGAACTCAACTGGGGATGTCCCCCAGGACAAGACATCTGGAACTGTCTCCAAGGTGTTCCAGATCTTGCTGTGGGAGGCAGGGCTCAGAAAGCAAAGCCGTATCTCTAGCTTAGAAGGGACTTTGGAGGTCTTTTGGTGCTACCCCGCACTTTGCGGAAGGGGAAACTGAGGCCTTATGAGAGGGGAACGTGTGGCAATCTGAAGACCTTAGCAAGGTCCCCTATTTGGAGCCCTTCCCAATGCAGCAGCCTGCCACTGCGTCAGACCCAGATGCTGCTGAATTTCCCTCGCCCAGAGCCCAACTCTCCCCTCCCCAGCAGGGCTCCTCATTTGCAGATCTGAGTCACCTCTGCGTCTATTATTATGGACTCATTAAAATGATCTTCTGCTGGAGTAGAAAAGCTCCAGAAAAATTAGAGTCACCTCACTGACACTGCCTGGCTCAGGACCAAATGAACATGTGTCATCCAGAGCTTGGGGCACAGCCTCCTTGGGCTAGGGGAATGCTGAAGGGCAAATGACCGCTTCCTGAGGGCCTACTATGGGCCAGGCATTTGGCCAAGTGCTTTCACACACATCAGCTTATGTAGTCTTCACAGTGGCCCTCTGCCATAGTATTCCCATTTAACAGATGAAGAAACTGAGGCACAAAAAAGTTAAATAAAAGGCTTGCCCATGTCTTACAGCTGGTAGGCAACAGTGCCTGGATTGGATTCAGAAGCTGGAATCTTCCCATTCCACTGTCCTGTCTCCCCTAGTGTCTGCCAGGAGCCGCCTGAGCAGTAAGACTATGGGCAGGCTGGTCTCAGCGCTTGGCCCTCTCAAGGGTCTCCCCTCTCCATCTCTTCTGGCTGATCAAGGCTGCACCTTGATCCTGAATAACACCAGGGGGGGCTGTGGAGTCACAAATGCCAAGGAGCCTTCTTTTAAAGGAGTAGTGGGCAGCACTGGGTGTCCAGAATTCCACAGACAGGGAATGACCTCCAGGGCCCATCCTTCCCTCCTCTGGTCAGGAGACCCCCACCCCACCCTAGAGGGGTTTTCAGAATCCTTCAGAGGTGCAGGCTTCAGTCTTCCTTTTGTGAACCCTCTGGGTTTCTTAGGGAAAGATTGGCTCCCAGTGTCCTCTTTAGTGGGGGATGAAGGCAGCGAACTGAGGGGGGGGTGGGGGTGGGGCCGCACGTAGTTTTCCCCAGAGAGCCTGCTTCTCGTTGCTCTCTCCAGATGGCTGCTCTGCTCTGCTCTCCGGTTGCTGGAGGCGCTTGTCAGAGCTGGGTCAGGGCACTGGCTGGAATCTGCCCTGAGGTCCCTTCTGGCCCCTGTCCCTCTAATCTGACCTGGTGGAGGGAGAGAGGTCTACGTGCGAGTGTGTGTGCATGGGCGTGCGCGCACACACACACACACACACACACACCACCTCCCTAGACTGGATTTAGAAGACACACATGGCTGCCACAGAGAGCCACAAAGTGAGGGATAACCCTGGACTGTAGCTGCCACCATCCGGCCGAGGGCCCCAAGTTAGCCCTGCTCCAATGCAGGCAGGGAGGGAAAATGAGGCAGTGGCCACCACGGGGTGCCTCCGGGTTACAAGCGGGGTGCTCTGCCGTGCGGGCACAAACACACAGACCCACCCAACGCATACACATGGCTACGTGCCCTCGTGCCCCCAGCTGTCGGTCTCTGTCTCTCCGCTCTGCCCATTCCTTCCCTACTGGGCCAGCATCTTTCTTTTCATCTTGGATGGATGACAGTCTCCCCAAGGTAGTGGGCAGGGAGGAGCCAGCTCTGAGGACCCTCACAGTTTCGTATGGTTTTGGTATGTGTCTCTTCTCCATGTTAGGAAAAAAGGTGGCTGGGGTCCCAAGGAAAGGGATGAGGAGGGACCATTCCCCCAAATGGAGGGAGGCCTTCAGGAAGCTGAGCTGAGGTGATTGGCCATAAAATAGCTTGGCCACAGCATCTGGAGGAGATTGGAACCAGATGTTCTGAGATGGGGGAGGGGAGGGTGTGGGACTGGGAGGAGGCTGGAGCAGGAGAAGCAGGCTGGTCAGTAGGAGGCTGAGATGGGGGGGCCTCGTGGCTCTCTGGAGAAAACATCTGGCTGCCCTCTCCCCACTCCCCAAGTCAGCACTACTATTTTTGCAAACTGGAGCAGCAAATCTTTTCACAGATTCTAGAACAGCCCTGTGTGTAGGGACAGTCAAGCACAGGGTGTGACTTGGGAGGTGCCCAGAAAGGCTACCAGCTAGCCAGAAATGTCTCCTGCTGCCCCACAAGCCCCGCCTTGCTGTGGGCTAAGCATGGCCTTCTCTGGCAGGAATCCTTCTGCCCTCAGCTCCTAATGCTCAACTGGAAACTAGTGTACCCAGAAGTTTCCTTTTTGCATAGAAAGAGAGTAGTCCAGGAACTGGAAAACTGTCTGGTAGAGGGAAGGAAAAGAAGGCGCAATTATGGAGAGCCTCCTATTTGCAGGCACTGTATCAGGATCTCCTCAAAGGGCATCTCATTGCTTCCCTGAATGTGTTGTCATTCCCCCGTCTAGATGAAGAAACTAAGGCTCAGAGATTTTAAATGACTCACCCAGGGGCACACAGCCACCAAATGGTAGAGCTTGTGTTCGAAACTGGCTATGTTTGCATGCAAGCTTTTGAACTTTTCGTGACACAGAAGCAGATAGGGGGAGGAGGAGGGGAAGGGAAAAGGGGGAAAGAGAAGGAGGAGAGCGGGGTGCGGGGCATGTGACTTTCCTCCTACTATAGTGGAGCCACACTTGGACCTAGAAGATCCCCCACCCCCCTGCTGGTGAGGAACCCCGCCCTCTGGCTGCTTGGAGACTAGACCCTGGGTTTTCTTGTCCACCTCAGCTGTGGCAGGAAGGGTTGCCGAGGACAGGGGAGAGGCTTGGGGAGCAGAGGCCCAGGGAGGAGGCAGCTGGCCAGCACCACTGAACAAAGGATGGCAGAGCCACGTCCCCTGACTGCCAGGCTAACACTGTTGTCCCCGCCTCTGCGGGCTACAAAGGTGCTCCCAGAGGCAGGAGTCTGAAGCTCCAGGCTGTGCGCTAATCTCGAGCTGGGAGCACAGTCAGGGGCAGGTCCATCCCAGCTTTTCTGTTCCTGGCCATGCCCTCAGGACCAAGGGGGCCCTCAAGGACTTGCAGACAGTTGTAGGAGCAAGGGGACCTTCCTCTGACATGGAGTCAGCTGAGCTGCTGGGCAGCGCTGCCCGGAGCTGGTCTAGTCTAGAACCCTGAAGCAGCCAGAAGGTGAGGGTGGGTGGGGTTCTGAGAGCACATGCATTGATTAAGTTCTGGAATATGTATCAGTGGCCTGCGCCCAGCTCCTGAGCAGCCTCCACCACCCAGAGGCAGCCTCCGAAGATGGGCCCAGAGCGGACAGGGAAGGCCCACCAGCACGGTCCCTGCATCATTAGAGGGGTCTGAGTCTTTGGTGGTGATGGAGTCTTGGGACAGGCTGTGGCATGGCTGTTCACAGAGTGGAGGGCCGGCTACTCTCTGTGGGCTGGAGCCCTTAAGTCTGGGTGGGGTTAGGATCCTGGCTCCTTCTGGACATGTGGCTCGTGAACTGGGAGTATGGGCCTCTGAGCCTCAGAAGAACGTGGAGGGCTGGTGAGAGAGCTGTGACCACTGACTACAAATTCTGCTGTGGAGGAGCTGATGCCAAGTTGGTTGGCCAAGTGTCTGGGTGAGATGCCCAGGCAGCTCCAATGGTCTGGGGGCCTTTCCATCCCGCTCAGAGCCTCCAGGCTGTCCGGAGCACTGAGGTCGGAGGAGGTGGGGGCAGGGAACGGTGGCCACACGTCCCAGGCTGTGACCTCCCTGGAACAGTAGGCGGTAACCCTTCAGCCCATCACCCCCTCCCTTGCAGGACCTCCCGGGCTCATCTGCCGTCAGGACTGGATGAGAGAGTGGCAGCCTGACAGTGGGAGCAGGCCAGCTTCCTAGGAGAGGGTCCTGCCTACACATCGGGTGCCAGCAATGTGTCTGGTCTCTACTACTGCATTCTGCTAAAAGGGCCTGTCTGGGGTGCACCATACTATGCTGCTGCCTGGGGGTAGGTCCCCTCCCACAGTCCAGAGAGCTTCTAGCCCAACACGGGCCTCTGCAATAGGGAGGGGCTTGAGGCCAGGAAAAGACCTACAGACCCACCGAAGGATCTCAGGGAGCCCCAGGGCTGGGAACAGGATGCCTGGCCCTCTCTGAAATAGGGGAGTGGCCAGCCCAGGCCAAAGAAGCCAGGTCCTCTCTCTGCTTTCTTGCCCCTTGAGATCCATGAAGAGAAAGGAGAGAGAGAGGCTCGTCTGAATGGAGGGAGCAGGGATGTGACTTCTCTCCTCCTGGCCTCTGGGAATCAGGTCTGGGCCTCACTGCTGGCTGGGGAGGGAGAAGGCCATGGCAGGAAGGAGGAGGCCGGCCGAGACACAGCCTTGGGAGAGGGGGCCAGAGCTGGAATGTTTGCTCAGTGGCTGCTGAGTGTCTGGCTCTTGTCTGCATGGGAAGAGAAGGACCCGCAGGGGGCCAGCACTCAGTGTTTGACCTTCAGGAAGGCAGAGTTTCAGGGCCAGTTCATGGATCTGTTCAGGCTGATGCCAGTTTTCTGGCTTCTGGTGGGCTCTCCCGGGACACCCTCCAGCCCACCCACCCCTTTCCCTAGACAGAGACAGAAAACCCGGGTGGACACCAGCTGGACAGACAACATGCCTAGCCCCTTTTACATACGTCCCCCTCCCCCCCCAAACAGCCTCTTTACAGAATGTTCCACTGCTCACGTCGTGTGGGAGGGCTATGAGCACTGTGTGTGTGCCGTACGCCTACGGGCTGAAGTGCGCGAGGAGGCTGTGTCTGTGTGTGCCTGAGTGTGAAATCACACCCTCAGGGGTCCTGGAATCGAGGGATGGAAGGGCAGCCAGCGAGGCCAGGTGTCCCGGCTGCGGGCCGCTCCCAGACACAGCAGCCTGCACATCTGGAATGAGATGCCCACCCCCCACACCCCCTCATGTTCCAGACAGCATCTGGCACGAGATACTCGCTGTAACACTTCCCGTTTATTGGCTGGGGTGCCCTGGTGTGGCAGACCAGCCGCTGGGCCCGAGACAAGCTCTGTCTCATTCCCCCACCCCCTCCCCTGCATCTCCCCACTGTGGCTCCCGTGGGACTCATATGGAAACTCCGGCCCCAGGAAGTGGGGGAACTGGGGGCTTAAAACAACCAAACGGAGGTTGGAGAAGGGGTGGGGAATGTACGTGACAATGAAGATATGCCACCAGCAATACACAACACAGCGTGTGGGGAGGGCAGGGAAGCTGGGCGGGCCTGCTGACAGATGCTCTCCCCAGCAGGCCAGGCCCCCAGAGAGCAATGGCTACTTCAAGTGTCTCGGTGAAGGCTCTGGCTCCCGGCCCTGGCCCCCTTGCTCTGGTGGGGGCAAGGAGGAAGGGATCGTGAAGGAGTCCAGTTCCCCTGCCTCCTGAGGACAACCTCGCCTGGACCGTCGGCCCGCAGGTCCCGGCGCCCGGGGGACGAGGTGCCCACCTCCTGCCCACCTCCCACTGTGCGGTCCAGGTGACTGAGGGCAGCAGGCCTCCCGTCCCCAACCCTCCTCCCCCCCCATGAGGGCACGGGTCATTTTCTGCTGTGCAGTGTGTCCTGGAACTTGGTGCTGGTGTACCGCAGGTGAAAGCCTTTTTTGGTGATGGTGTCATCTGAGTGGAATTTCACCAGGACAGAATCTCCCGCCGAGTACACCTCCTCAGGAGGCTGACAGAGGAAAGGAATGGGCATGAGGCTGAGGCTGCTATTGTTCCTCCCCAGGATCCCCTGCTCTAAGGAAGGCGGGCGGCTCCCAGACATTCACCGGATTCCCCCAGCCCCTTGAAGCAGGAGGAAGACTATTGCCAGTGGGAGTTTAAGGGGATGCCTGGAGGAGGGAAGAAAGCAGGGGATAGAGGAACTTGTCTTAAGTTCAGAGTCACACTTCATTCTAAACCCAGCACTGCTATGAACTAGCTAGTTGTGAAGTCTTAGCAAGGCACTGCTCGCTTCTGGGCCTCGCTTCCCTCAAGGGCAAATGGGAGAATTGCTCCCTGCTCTCCAAGCCTAGAAGGGCTGGTGGGCGGGGGGGGGGAGCAAGTGAGAGGATGATTGTGAAAGGGTTTTACAAAGGGAGTGGGTTCTGAGAGGCTGCCTTCTCACTGTCTCAGCTGTCTCCTGGGGAAGGCAGGACAGCTGGGTCCCCCAGATGCAGATGTGCCCATGCCCCTCCTGTCCTCCCCCCGTTCTGGCCGCGGGCAGCTTCAGGTGATGCCCTTTCCTAGGCTCCTGCGAGCCCCTCCTCACCTCTGCCTGCAGGACCTCCAAGTGAGAGCTACCCGCAGAGCATCAGCACATAGATGCCCTGGCTCTCAGGGCATAGAAAGCATCATTTCCGAGAACCTTGGGGACATTTCCAGTAACCTTGCCAGGAAGCCCTGACGGGATTGGGTTCCTTTCCCAGGTCCCCTCCCGCTGGCTCCAGCCCGGTGGAAGTCTCTGGAAGAAGCCACCTGGGGACACTGGATTTGATGTGTGGCTCACTGGAATGTGCCAGATCAAGGGAGTTACAATGGGCAAAGTGGAGAGGGGGTGCTGGCTTTGCAGCCAGGGGATTCCAGAGTGGTGAGCCAGGCAGGAGAGGGGCCTGTGTGCTCCGCTCCTGCCCCACCTCCCCACCTCTCCACCCTGTCCCAGTCCTACAGAGGCTGAAGCTCTGTCCTGAGGACACATTCAATGGACTAATGGTGGGTCCAGTGGATGCTGCAGCGCTGGGAAGTTTAACCCTTCCTCGGGTGCCCAGGTTGCCCTGGAGCATGTCCATGAGACAGGTGAGGGACCAGGGAGGTGACGGGAGGGAGGGGGTGTGTGTGTATGTGTGTGTGTGTGTGCGTGCACTCGTGTGTAATGGAGAGGGGAAGATGATGTTCTCTGAAGGGGGAAACGATTCACAAAAACAAAAGAAAAAAAAAAAAACAAAAGAAGCCACAAGCTCTGACTGAGAGGAAAATAAATCCACCTTTGTGGTTTCCCGTGACCTCGGTTAAAATCCCATGGAGCAAACTTTTGCCCACTGCCTCTGAAAGTGCCATTTTTATGGACCAAGAAGCAGTGTCCCGCATCTGCTCGGACAGTAGCACCAAGGGCTTTGGGACCAGCTGGCCTCCCGCCAAGAAGGGTACCTGGCAGTGGAAGAGATGAGGGTGTTTTTATGGCTCAGCCAGAATGACTGCTTAGCACAGTTCGGCTCAGGCCCCAGGTTCCTGGCTTTTTGTCCCAGCCTCTGCCCCTGATCCTGGGCCCTGGTAAGCTGCCTTGGGACTGGAACAAGGGATGAGGGGGGCAGAGGGAATTCCATCCTCCTCCCCAGATGCAAGCCACCCGGTAGGTCCAACCAAACTAGTGCTGAGCAGGCTTGGGTCAGGGCAGGGCCTGTCCCAGAGGCTGCAGAAACCACAGTGTTGGCCAAAAAGGGACCGAATTTCCTGGGTGGGGATGGCCTGGGGCAGGGCGGGCCTCCATGAGCAGCCACCCACCAGGCAGGGTCTCTGGGCTCCTGCAAGGGGCCGGGCCTGGGCTACCACCCACCCTGGCACCCCACATGGGCGCCGGACAGGGGGGGCGGGGTCTCACCCCTGAGCCGCAGTAGCGCCCCAGTCTGGGGGCTGTGCCGTCATAGCCATCGAAGAGCTCCATGTAGTCGTAGCCACAGTCTGTCTCCTCCTCCACCTCGAAGGTCTGGAACACCAGCTCCACGCCATAGCCTTCCTCTGCCACGATGACCCACTCGCAGTCCACCCCCCCGGGGTAGTTGTTGTCACCAAACTGGGCATGGGAGTAAAGATCCTTTGTCTTCACCTCTGCCCGCACCTGGCCTCCGCACTCTGTGGGAGGACAACGAGATCAGCCAGCATCTCTGAGCATGGCCGAGGGCCAGGCACTGCACCTCGCCACGGTGAACCCTCATGGCTGGATGGGGGGCCACACGGCTAGTGGTGGGCGGCTGTGGACCTGGCCCAGGACGCGGCCCACGACAGGTGCTCTGCTGCTCCGCCTCTGGACCGATGCCCACAGAGGCCCGGGGACACACCAGGCTGTTAGTCAACTCTGAGCAGAGGCACCGGGAGCAGGGGGCACGCTTGTCAAAAGAGGCCATTGCTAATTTGCTCCTTCTGACGGCTGCCCTGGAAGAATGTGGGCCCTGCGTTGCCAGAGCTTCCATTCTTCAGAGAGAAGAACTACATCTGGATTTTCTGTGAAAACTCTTGATTTTTAAATGTTGGCTCACATTTTTAAAAAACACAATGTGGGCCAAACAGAGCACGTCTGAGGGCCAGAGAGAGTTCCGGGCCTCCAGTCTGTGACCCTCTGCTGGGAGGGGCAGATGAGAGCACGCAGGGCAGGGCCAGCGGCGCCCATCCTCCTGGGAAAGCCCTCTGGCCCCTAGGACTCCCGGTGCTTATGCTTCCCTGGAGGGGTGGGAAGGGGGTGGGACGGGACCCAGGGCAGGAACTGAGTTGCAAGGGAGGAGGGGAGGCTGTGGACCCATCAGTCCTGGGGACGCCCCAACAGGGGGCTCAAGGCCCACAAGGAGCCTGTGAAGCCCCCATCTGACACCCTCCCCAGCCTGGGCTCCAGCCTATCTCTGCTGATGCTTTGTTTCCACTTCATGGCTGTCCTCACACACCCGTTGTTCAGGCCAAACGAAATGACCTGCGGTCTCTTGTATACACCCCGAGTTATCCTGGGGTTGTGGCTGGGCCTGGGCTCCTCCCCTGGCTGGAATGACCCCACCAACTCCCATTCGAAACTAGAGCTTATCATGTTTTGCCTCATGCTCTCTTTATCTGTGCATGTCCCAGCTCACCTCTGGACTGGGAGTTCCTGGGCTGAGGGTGGGGGAAGGGCTCCTGCCTGATTCATCACCATGTGCCCCGCTGAGGCTCACATGGGGCCACAGCTCAGCAAAGGGTTGCTGAATAAATGGGCAAGGGATCACTAATTCCCTGATTCCTAATTCCCTCCAGGGCTGAGATGTTTGCTTCCTTTTTGGGACAGGCACTTACAACACCGCCTCAAACATGTTATGTGTTAATAAGTATCTGTAGAATGAACGGATGAGTGACTTTGGGGGTTGGAATGTGGGTGGGCTGCTGCATGGTCAGGCGTCCTACCGCTGGGGACTCTGGGGCTTCCCTCCCCATCCCTGGCTTCCCCACCCACTGTCGTCACTGCCCTCTGTTTTCCAACTTCACAGCCCCTAATCAGGATCCCCCCCACTCTCCTTTTAGTGCTCCCTTTCTGCTCCCCTGCTCGGCCCTTGGAACACAGTCTCTCTCCACCCAGGCCACAGGCTTGGTCTAGCTGTGCCTTCACACGCTCTTCCTCACCCTCCATGGGAGCCTCCTGAATGTGGGCCTGCCTCTGGGGCCAGGACCAGCAGATGGCTGCAGAACAAGACAGCATGAGGGCACTGGCTGCCCAGCGCCCTGGCCTGAGCCGGCCTCACCTGTGGAGTGGGACGCCTGGAAGCCCTTCCTCTGGACGGAGTTGTCCGAGTAGAAGCGCAGGAACATGCGGCTGCCTGTGGCCAGGACCGGCTCGGGCTTCTTGCTCCCACAGAAGCGGCCCAGGACAGGGGCCTTGGCGTCACGCCCGTCATACACCTCCAGATGGTCATAGGCACACTCGGGCTGGGACTCGATGTCCATCTCCACGAAGGTCTGGAGGGCACGAGGGAGGACAGCAAACTCAGAATGTGGCTGGGGGGGTGGGCAGCAGGTGGCCCCAGATCTAGGCCTCCGGACCCCAGCTCCTGGAGACCCAAGGAAGTGGTCACTGCTGGTGGCACGGCTGGAAGCAAGGAGGGAGGGCCGGGGGGGGGGCAATGGCAGGCAGGGCCTCTGTCCAAACCAGATGGGGGGCTCACTAGGATCCTCAGAGGGGTGACAGCCCTGCGGGCTCAGCCAGGCATCAGCCTGCAGTCTGCATCGCTCTGAGTCACCCAGGGCTTTGGAGCCGATAGGAAATAGGCGGCGGCCGGATGGCATGCAGGAGCGGGGCGCCCATGCGGGCTGGGATGGGGGCGCCTTACCAGCTTGACCCGGTGGCCGGGGGTGCTGGAGATAGCCCAGGTGCACTCCTTCTTGCTGGGATATTTGTCAGGCCAGTTGGGGCTGGTGATGGTGCCGCTAGTGGATGTCACCTTGTGGTCACAGCCAGCTGTGGGGAAGTGAGGGGAAGGAGATCAGCAAGGACCCCGGGGCTCCAGTGCCCCCTGTGAGGAAAGGAACAAAGCCCTTCCCTCCTGCCCTCCTTGCTTCTTTCTCCTGTCCCTCACCTGCCAACGGATGGAAGGCTTACATGACTTCTTTTCTGTTCCGTTACCCATAGGCGGGGAAATCTAGCTGCGGGCTTCCGTGCAGGGCCCTGCCTGGTAGCATCCATGGAAGCCCCCCTCACAGCTGCCCCTGTGCAGAACCCTGGATCTCTGAGGCCATCTGGCCACACCCCCTCTGCCCTCCACGATGCTGTCATCCTTCGGTCTCCTGCCACACCTCCACATTCACAGAAGACTTTGGCACCTGCCTCAGTTCTCTACCCACTCCTGCTGCCATCCTAGGGCTGGCCTCTCTGTCCCTGATCTTCTCAGCTCTACTGGTGCTTATCTTCTTCTCCTCGAGGTGGGCTTGCTTATGACCTTACTGGGCCTTGCCATTACCCACCATTTCCTCATGCTACAAATATCACCTCTCTGTGACCACCTCCTGTTCTTCCAGGGTGCTCAGGCCCTCACTGTCCGTTCACTGCTTCTTCAGCTTTAGAGAGCCCTCCATGGCCTTGGTTCTTCTCGTTTCTCCCAATATTTCCTCCTTGGTTGACTTAACTTACTTTCCTATCTGGCTGGACCACACGGCTGATCACCGCCGCTACTCAACACACTGTCCTTAACTATGCCATCTTGGAGAACCCATCTGTGACCCCAACCACTGGAGACCCAAACCACTTGATACTCTTGGATCTGTCCCTCACCAGCTCCACCTCTCACCTCCTCAACTCCTCAACAATGGCTCCAAACCCTCAGCCCTCTCAACTCCCAGCCCCTCCTACCCAGAAGACCAGCTCACCTCCTGCCTCCTTGAGAAAATCAGGGCCTCAGATAGGAACAACTTCAACTTCCTGGCCCCACCTGCAAACTCACCTTCCCCTTCCCTTGTTTCTAAGAAGCTGCCTCTCCTTCTGTGAGCTGGAGCTCACTGCCACCCACCACCTGGGGACCTTTGTACCTCACATTATCCACCCTCACTCTCTGTGCTGGCTCTACCAGCCTGTGGGCCTTCCTAAGCTTTACCCCATCCTAAAATAGCTCTCCCATGGCCCTATGTTCCCCTCCGGCTGCTGCCCGTCCTCTCTCATTTTCTTCTCAGTTGACCATCAAGAAAACTTGTTGTCACCCCATTCTCACTACTTAAGTTTCCTCGATCCATTGCAATCTGCCGTCTGCCTCTGAAAGTGTGGCCTCCCAAACAAATTTAAGAGCTGATGCTCATTATTTATTATCATCCAATTTGACAGGTGCCTCCGGGGAAAACGGGCAACCAGTGCACTGCGGGCTGGGGAGGAGAGAGGGACGGGTGGCTGCCTACGGTCAGCGGCTCATAGGACTAACGCACAGCCACGAGGCCCTGAGAGCAAGGGGGCGGGCCTCGCAGAGGCTCCGGTTGGTGGAGGCACGTGGAGCCCCTGGCTCTCCATGTTGGACCTGTGGGCTGTGTCTGTCATCCTTCTGTGGTTCCCCACTGCCACACTTACTGCCGTTCCCCATCTCTGCACTGGCCTTCCCTCCAACTTCTGGGTGCACACCCACTTCTCCCCCAGCTAGACTGCAACTTCCTTGGGGGCAGAGGGACCCCCCCTCTTGAGCCCCATGCCGAACTCTGCACCGCACTGCACCCTCTGCAGGAATTCAGGAAATACTGACTCGTAACTCGCCTAGCGTGTGAGTGGGGCACCTGAAGGCTTCTAAAGTGACTCTGCACGATGTACAGGCTGTCCACCCAGAAGTGCAAACCCGGCTACCCTGTTGGTGTTGATGTACTCTTTTTTATACAGTACAGAGAGAGAGAGTGCACTTTGGACAACCTCAAAATAAGGTCCCCTCCAGCTAAAAGATGTGGAGGCCCTGTGAGGCAGGAACTCCATATTTGGGAGCCTGCACTGATGGGACTGGAAGCTCTTGAGCGTCCGTTGGGTCACTGTTGAGAGCTTCAATTCTGTTTATTTTAGCTAGAAGTTAATTTGTTGGTCCCTTGGTTGTCCACCTAATAACAGTGAGAAGAGGCATTTGCCAGGCACTGTGCTAAGTGCTCGAGTGAGATCTATGAAACTTAGCATGTGGCAAGGTAGGTCCCATTGTTTATCACCTCACGGGTGAGGACGCTGAAGCTCAGGGTGGTACAGTGACTCGGCCCAAGTCACACAGACATTCAGTGGCAGAGCCAAGTCGATGCCGTGCTGCTGACACAGTGTGTCCTCAGCAGGCTGCGGACACTATAGAATTAACGACATGGAAGGCCAGTGTTGTATCATGTCCACAGGGGTATCGGATGATATCGGAGCTGTTTCCAAATATCTGCAGGGTTTGAGTGTTGGGGAGGTAGTGACCCTGTTCTGAGTGTCCCCGGGGGTCAGAAGTGTGACCTGTACGGTTGACATACACGACTATGCTTGCTGGGAGCCCCATGCCCTGATCAGGTGGGCCTGTGACCACCTGGCTGTCCCACAGGAGCAAACGGAGGCCCTCGGGGGCGTGCAGCTGGCCAAGCGGCAGGGCTGGGCCGGGCAGCACCGTGCCATCTCGCCTCTGCAGAGGACACTCGTTAGGGGGAGAGGGACTGGGACACGGGTTTTAAGAACTAACCACCAGCTCAGTCTCAAGATGGAGATCGGGGACAGGTGTGAGCCCCTCCTCTCCTGACAGGCACAAGGAGAGATGGAAGTGTTGGGGGGGGAGTCTGTGGACCCGGTGGGAGGCCAAACAAGGTGACCTCAGAGGCCACTCATGTCCTTGAGTCTACCCGCAGCCAGATGGCGGTGGCACCCCCCTCCCCCGCCTCCTGGGCCCCGGCCTCCAGTCCCTGGGGCCCTGGGTGGGCCACCCTGGTAGTGCTCACCTTCCTTGCAGTCGTGCTTGTTGTCGTGGAGGACGAAGCCGCTGCGACACTGACACTCGTAGCTGCCGAACGTGTTGACGCAGTCTTGCTGGCAGCCGCCGTTGTCCTTGGAGCACTCGTCCTTGTCTGCAGGGGAGCAAACAAGGCGGGGCGCGGGTCTGTGCGGGGCTGAGGGCCGGGTGGTCGCCCCAGGGGCAGCGGGAGGCTGGCTGGGCTTCCTCCCCCCGGGGGGCCCAGGCCATGGTGGTGGTGGAGGTGGTGGTGGAGGTGGTGGTGGTGGTGGGGTCCCGGGCGGTGCCTCCAGCGGAGCCAGCCGAGCGGCCCAGCTGTGGGGAGAGAAAGTAGAAGTGGGGTGGACGGAGGGCTGGGGGCTGGAGCTGACCAACCTGGGCACCCTCTACCATTACCTGCTTACTGGACAGATGGACAAGTGGAAAAACAGACACACGGACAAGCAGACTGCAAGAGAAAGGAGCAGGACGCAGGGGTCCCTCTTTTACTTCGCAACAGGAAATGTCACAGACACCATCAAAATGGGAGGGGGTGGGGGCGGGGAAGGTCCCCTGTCCACGGGAGGGGGACAGGGGGAGAGGAGAGCACCAGTTCTGTCCGGCCAGAAGGAGGGCAGGCCGGAATGGCAGAGCGGAGGTGGGGGGTGGGCGGGCACTGAAGCCCCCATCCCATTCCGTCCAAGGTGAGGTTCCTGAGTAACAAAGGGTCCGGGAGGCCTGGCAGGCCTCACTGGGGGGTCCGGTTTCTTTTCTGCACTCGGAATTTGAGCTGGTGGGGGCGTCCCCGAGGGGGCTGCAGAGCCGGCCTCTTTTCTGAAACGAGAGAGAGAAGGAGAAAAGGGACCAAGGGGTGGGGGTGGAGGGCAGGGGCCAGGGAGGGAGAGCAGTGAACACCAGCCCGGGCCTCGGAGGCGGAGTCACAGGGCAGTGCGGGAAGGCAGTGGGAGACACATGCGGGGCGGCCATGTCCGGGGCAGCCAGCTCAAAGAGGAACAGCAGGTGGAAAGAGGCACAGCGACAGGGGACAGATGGGGAGAAAGCCTGGGGCAGGAAGAAGGCCTGGAGGGCTTTGGAGCCGTTGTTGAGGAGGTGAGAGGTGGAGCTGGTGAAGGACAGATCCAAGAGTACCAAGTGGTTTGGGTCCCCAGTGGCTGGGGCCGCAGATGGGCACGAGGCCTGCACACGGGGAAGGAGAGAGACAGATCTCCGCTAGAGGGGGGCAGCCGTCGGAAAGGGTGGGCCTGGCTGACAGCTCCGCGCTCTCACTCCGGCCGCTGCGGCTTTGGTTGCTCACACTCACGCCAACGTGCCCACAGACACAGGATCCCCGCAGGAACGTACTGTGGTCCCACCGCGGCAGCAGAGACACCGACCCACGGGGACGCGTACACCCATGCACGGGATGCTACTCGGTGCCCGCACATCACTAGCACCCACCGCACTCCTCACTCCCACACCTGTGTGAGGAGGCGAGCACAGGTCCCAACACACAGGCATGGGTGCATCGGCAGGTGCTTGGGGGCCAACACGAGGGTACGAAGACACACACACGTGCGCAGACCACAGGCTCTTCAGCAGCCCGGCGGACTCAAGTGTGCCCACACATGCAGCCACTCAAGCTCGGGTCAACCCACACACACGCACTCCCCCACGAGCACACCCACACGCGCGTGCACTGACACACAGAGAAACACGTGGTTCCGGGCACGCGTGTGTCACACCCACATATTCTCCAGTCTGTCTGTGCTCACTTTGGGGACTGTGTGCCTGGCACAGAGGCAGGCATTCGGGGAAGGTGTGTACATTGAATGGACACCCAGAATTCCACAGGGGAACCTTGAGGTAGAAAGATGCCCTCTGCCATTCAAATGGCCAGGTGGGGTCCTCGACAAAGGGAGCCCTCTTCTTGGTCTCCATCAGCAGAGGGGCTGAGGACTGGAGCCCTGCTTCTCCACTCCATTCTCAGGTGGGCCAGACCCCTTGGGGCCTGTGGGTACTCAGGGCCAAGCGATGGAGTCCCCAAGTCCCTCCCAGGGCTCCTTCTCAGTTAGAACCTCACCAGGGACCCTGGCTGAGGGCCCTGCAGGAAGGTGGGGGTGAGGGGCACCCTATGACTTGGGGGTTTGCCCAGGAACTCGCCTGTGACTATGCTGGGAGTTTCAGGGGTCCCAGCTCAAGAACTGAGCGAAAATTTCCCGGAAATGTTTTGATCTCCACGCCTTCCTCATACTTGTACCCTAACCACCTAGTACACTGCCTGGCACATAGGAGGGGTAAAAGAAATACTTGCCCGTGAATGAGTGCGTGGGTAAGTGGGTGGCTGAATGGCCAAGTGATAGAAAGGTGAGTCCTGAGGAAGGCCTGCTGCAGCGTCCCAGGAGGCAGGGGGGGTGGGGGGGTCGGGGGGGCGGGGCTCGGGCGTGGGGGCGGGCGGGAGTGGTAGCCTCACCTCAGAACCAGGGGAGCAGGCTGCAGGAGGGACAGGAGCAGGGAGGGTGGACACGGGCCCGGACAGGGAGATGGCACTCACCCTCCAGTGCCAAATGCCCCGGAAGGTGGCTGGGGTCAGAATGAAGGTCTTCAGGCTCTTTCTTCTCCTTCTTGGCTTAGGGTCTCCTCGCTGGGTGTCCCAAAAGTCCAAAGAGCCCCCCTCCTGGGGGGCCAGAGTCAGATGCCCCATGCCCTGAGGGCTCAACCTTGATGCCCACCGGTGAGGGTAGGGTCCTCTGCAGGTTTCTTGTGCCGCAGGGCATCGCATGTGTGTGCGTGTGCGGGTGTGCAGGCGTGTGTGTGTCTGTGCGGGGCTGAGGGGTGGTTGGCCCAGTGTCATGCCAGGGCAGGGCAGTACCCGGGGGTGGAGAGCCCTGGGCTCTAGGCCTGACAGATGTGGTGTTGGTCCCCCTCCCCCCTCCAAGACTGGAGCAACAGAAGGGCAGGAAGAGACAAGAGTAAGCAGGTAATGGTTTCCCCAGGACCGAGCCCACCCCCGAGTAGGGGTTACATCCCCTCAGCCCTCTGGTGAGCACCCTGTAGGATTTCCAGGTGGGCACAGGGAAGAAAAGGATTCGCGTTGCATGGGGAGGGGTCTCAGCCAGCAGTAGGGGGCAGGGGCTGGGGGGGGCTGTAAGCAGAGCAGGATGGCTGGCAGTGCCAAGCAGGGACCAGGGCACAGGGCAGTGCATGGCATCCAGGTGGGGCAGGCAGGGGGGCAGGGCCACAACATAGGGGCTCGAGGATGCAGGATCCTGGGCAAAGGAGGGGAGAAGGAAGGCAGCATGGGCTGGGCCATGGGCTTCCTGCCTTCCTGCCACCCCATGCCCGGCCCACCAGGCCTGCTGGGGATCAGGATCCCTGGGACACTCCCCCAGAAAACCAGCCGCTCCAGCCACTCCCTCTGCCTCCCACTCCCCCCACTCAGTTTCATGGAATCCCCACCCCACACTATGTCCCGGGTCCAGTTGCCTCTGAAAGACCACCAGCCTTGCCCCAGGATGAAGGACAGAGGGATGACTAAAACAGGGGAGAGGTCTCTGGGACCCCTGGAGGCCTAGCTCAGAGGGGCTGGCTGCCTCTCAGGCCACCCAAAGATGAGGCCATCAGAGGGACTTGATGCCAAGCCTCATGCGGGGCAGCTCTCAATAAACATATGCTGGTTGGATCTGAGTCCCCCACCTGTGGGCTGAGGGTGAGTGGGAAGGCTTTGGTGTTGAAGAGAGGGAGGCTCCTCATCTTTTCTGAAGGCCCCGGCATGAACCCGCTTGGCACGTGTAGGGTCTGATCGGAGATGTGGCCGCCAGATCATCTGGCCCACACAGCGCAAGGCAAACATCCTCCTCCTCTGCATGTACCCCGCGTTCTCTGGCCACGATGAACTCCCTGTTCCCAGGGCCTGCCCTCTCTGGGACCTCGGCATAATGGCTCCTGATACTTGGAAAGCCCTCTCCTTTCGATTCTGCATGTCTGTGTCCTGCCCATCCTCAGGCTGGCTCCCATATAGCCCAGAGGATTCGGGAGTAATGGGGTTCAGGAATGGAGGGGCTGGCCTGGTGGTGGAGGGCTAGTGGGGGGAGGAGGGGACAGAGCCTGCTGGCCTGGCAACAGGGAGGGCTAGAAAGTGCAGGGGTCCAGTGGCAGGGAGGAGGGGAGGCAGGCTCAGAGCTGGGGAGTCCGGGTTACCTGAGAAGAAGTGGGCCTTGAAGCCCTTCTTGGAGACTGTGTTGTCGGACTTGAACTCCACGCGCATGTTGTTGTACTGGGAGGTGATGACCTCGGGCTTCTCGGAGCCGCAGAACTTGCCATGTAGCTTGGAGTCGGCTGTGAGCCCACTGCGTACTTCCACGAAGTCATACTTGCACACCTGCAGGGCAGGGCAGCTCCAGGCCTGCCTCCTCCAGGAAGTCTCCCCTGACCACCCCTACCTGGGAAGGCTCCCTGTTGTGTGGGTCCTTTTGTCTTTAGTCACCCACTTTACAGACTCTAATAACTCAAAGAGGTGCCACGTCAACCCCATTAGATCTTCTTGTGCTCTCCACACAAGGCCCAAGTCTTGCCTCGCTCCACATCGCCACGTGCATGCTCCCTGGCCTTCAAGCCCTCCTCCCCAACCCTCCCCTGCTTCCTGGAATTGGGAGCAGTCTCTCCTCCTCTACATTCTTTGGGTATTTCTTTTATAGGGAAGGAAGCCGGCTCCCACGCCTCAGACCTTCCTGCGTCGCCTCAGCCCAATGAGCACTTACGTCATTGCCCTCGGTCTCGAAGAAGTCGAATTGCAGGGAGATCCGGTACTGGGTGGGGGCCACCAATTGCCAGATGCAGTTTTTGTTAGGGGGGTACTCCTTGGGCCAGCCGGGGCTGGTGATGGAGCCATTGAGCTTGGTGAGGAAGCCACCACAGGCAGCTGGGGGGACAAGAGAGGTGCCATCACCTGCCAGGAGCCTCCAGTCTAGGTACGGGCCAGAGACAGGTGCTGGGTGCATTGGGGAGATGGGGATCTTGGATTCCCTGCAGTCCCGGGGCTTGTGTCTCGTCTCTCAGGAACGGGAGGGAAGCAGGCGGGGGGGGGGGGTTATCTTCAGAGTATGAGGAACTGAGGAGTCGTATGTGTGAACACTTCTACTTTCTCTGCGACAGAACCGCCAGGACATCTGCTGAGAGGGAGGAGGGGGGTGAGGGGCTCAGGGAAGCCTGGGCCAGTGTGCAGGGAGGACTGGAAGCGTGGCGAGGCAGGGAGGGAAGGCAAGACCAGGCTGAGCTGGAGGCTCTGACAGGGAGTGCTTTCACCAGCTTTCACCTTGGGCCGGGTATTGGGAGAGGCCAAAAAATCAGTGTGTGTCTGAGGACAGTGGTTTCCAAACTGGGGATCATGACCCTTCTGGAGGGTGATGAAATCCATCAGTCGGTCAAGGTCAGCATTTTAAGCGAATAAAGATGAAAAACAAAACAAAACAAAACCAACCCAGAGTGCGTCACACTTGGTAAGTGTGTTCTGGGGGCCTGCAGGATAGAATGTCTTCCTTGTCCCCCCGTCGTGAAGAACGTTCTAGGGAGTCCCAGCCCCTCCAGGGAGGGGAGTGTCCAAGAGCAGGAGAAATCTTGGCTAAGGACCTGGGTCCCGGGGAGGGGGGCACTCACCCTCACAGCGGCGCTTGTCCGGAGCTAGCTCGTACCCGGGGTCACAGCTACACTTATAGCTGCCCAACGTGTTGAGACACCGCTGCTCGCAGCCCCCGCGGTTGGGCCGCGAGCACTCATCCACCTCTGCCAGTTGGAAGGAAAGGGGGTCAATGACTGCCAGGCTGGGGCCTGGGTCTCTCCTCCCGCCCTCTGCTCGCGAGTCAGGTCCACAGTCCCCCAGGCTTCCTGTGACCACCTCCAGCCCCAGTGCAGGGACCGGCAGTCGGCTGTGGACCACTCAGAGCTCTGAGGCTGTGGGCCTCCCTGCCCCACCCAGCCCCAACTCAGTCCCCAGGGGACCCTACTCCTGAGAGCCCCAAAGGGACAGGTTACGACCTGAAAGAGGGGACAGGCGGACCCCCACAGAGCCTTCCTCTGACCACAATGGCTGGGCTGGTGGCCGCCACCATGGACTGGTTCCTCTTGTATGCCATTCCCTGGCTAAGTACTATTTCCTCCTTTCTCCTTTAATTCTGACATGACCTGTGATGGAGGGACTGTTACTATCCCCATTTTACAGATGAGGAAATGAGATTCAGAAGATGACCTGCCCACCGTGACACCAGTTAAAAAAAACAACAACCCACACTGTCTGGCTTCCTCCCCAAGCTTCCACAGCACTTTCTGCCTCCGTGCCTCATTGGCCTTTCTTCTATACAAACTTCTGGACTTTAAGGCAACTCTTGAATTATTATTTCAATTCAGAGTTGAGGACCTACCATGTGCAAACTACTTTTATGTAAGTTTGTCATTTAGTCAATGAGATATGCAGTTTTTCAATGGAATTGACCTTTTCTCCCCAGTTAGGCCATCAGTTCAAGGGAGGGCACCAGGGTCTCTGCATCCCTCCTAGAGCCTCTGTGTCGAATTGCTGAATAAACAACGTGTGAAGTCACCGCAGCAACATCACAATAGCCAAAATGTAGAAACAGCCTAAATGTCCACCAACAGATGAGGACAAAGAAAATGTGGTACAGGATGGGAAGAATTAATACTGTTACAACGTCCATACCCCCAAAGCAATCTACAGATCTGATGCAATCCTGATCAAAATACCATTTTTCACAGAGCTATAACACGTGATCCTGAAACCCGTTCAGAACCACAAAAGATTCTGAACAGCCAAAGCAATCCTGAGGAAGAGCAAAGCTCGAGGTGGCACGCTCCCACATTCCAAACTGCACTACAAAGCTATAATCAAAAACAAATAAATCAAAACAGTATGGTACTGGCACAAAAATAGAAAAATAGATCAATAGAAGAGAAAACAGAGTCCAGGAAAAACCCCGTGATTACATGGTCAATTATCCTATGACAAAGGAGGCAAGAATATACAATGGGGAAAAGACAGTCCCTCTCTTTTGTTAAAGATTTTATTTATTCATTTGAGAGAGTGAGCAAGAGAGAGAGAGCACAAGCAGGGGGAGCGGCAGGCAGAGGTAGAGGGAGAAGTAGGTTCCCCTCTGAGCAGGGAACCTGATACGGGGCTCAATCCCAGGACCCCGGGATCATGACTTGAGCCGAAGGCAGACGCTTAACCAACTGAGCCACACAGGGGCCCCCCGACAGTCTCTTTAATAAATAGACTGGACAGCTGCATGCCAAAGAATGCAACTGGACCACTTATCAACACTATACACAGAAAGAAACTAAAAATGGGTTAAAGACTTAAATATAAGACCTGAAGCCATAAAACTCCTAGAAGAAAACACAGGCAATAAGCTCTTTAACATTGGTCATAGTGATATTTTTTTTGGATCTGTCTCTTCAGACAAGGACAACAAAAGCAAAATAAACAAATGGGACAACGTCAAACTAACAAGCTTTCACACAGTGAAAGAAACCGACAATAAAATGAAAAGGCAACTTAGTGGGAGAAGATATTTACCAATGTTATGTGCAATAAGTAGTTAACATCCAAAATATATAAAGAACTCATAAAACTCAATATTTAAAAAAACAACTATTAATTTAAAAATGGTAGGAAGATCTGAATAAACATGACTCCAAAGAAGACATCCAGATGGCCAACAGACCAACATCACTCATCGTCAGGAAAAATGCAAATCAAGACCACATTGAGCTATATTACCTCACGCCTGTCAGAATGGATAGTATCAGAAAGATAAGAATAACAAGTGTTGGCAGAGGAGTGGAGAAATGGGAACCCTTCTGCACTGTGGGTGGGAATGCAAATTGGTGCAGCCACTGTGGAAAACAGTATGGAGATTCCTCAGGAGTTAAAAATAGAATTACCATATGATCCAGCAATTCCACTTTTGGGTATTTATCCAAAGAAAATGAAACGCCAATTTGAAGAGATATACGCACCCCCATGTTCATTGCGTCGTTATTTATAACAGCCAAGATATGGAAGCATCTGAAGTGTCCACTGACAGATAAATGGATAAAGAAGATGTGGGAGAGCCATACAGTGGAATATTACTCAGCCGCAGAAAAGAATGAAGTCTTGCCATTGGTGACACCATGAACTAAGTGAATTCACACTAAGTGAAATAAGCTAGACAGAGAAAGACAAATGCCACATGCTTTCACTTATATGTGGAATCTAAAAACAAAACAAATGAACAAACGAAACAAAACAGAGACAGACTCATAGATACGGAGAACAAACTGATAGGGAGGGGCTGGAGAGATGAACAAGAGAGGTGACAGCAGCTAAGATGTACAATTTTCCAGTTATAAAATAAATAAGACAGGGGGATGCAATGTACAGCATAGGGAATGCAGTCGAATCACTATGCTGTATTCTTAAAACTAATAGGATATTGTACGTCAATTATCCTTCAATTTAAAAAATGTGTTCCGTACACACAGTGGAATACTATTCAGCCTTAAAAAAGAAGGAAATTCTGCCATATGCAGTATGGATGAATCTTTTTTTTTTTTTTTAAAGATTTTTATTTATTTGACAGAGAGAGACACAGCGAGAGAGGGAACACAAGCAGAGGGAGAGGGAGAAGCAGGCCTCCCGCGAAGCAGGGAGCCCGATGTGGGGCTCGATCCCAGGACCCTGGGATCATGACCTGAGCCGAAGGCAGACGCTTAACGACTGAGCCACCCAGGCGCCCCCAGTATGGATGAATCTTAAGGGCATTATGTTTTTTGTTTTTTTTTTTTAAGATTATTTATCTGAGGGGGGGAGAGAGAGAGCATGAGTGGGGGGATGGGCAGAAGGAGAGGGAGAGAGAGAATCTCAAGCAGACTCCCTGCTGAGCGCGGAGCCCAACACGGGGCTCGATCCCAGGACCCTGAAATCATGACCTGAGACGCTTATCCAACTGAGCCACCCGGGTGCCCCTTAAGGACACTGCGTTAAGTAAAATAAGCCAGTTACAGACAAGACAAGTCCTGCGGGATTCCACTTACCTGAGCTATCTAAAATAGTCAAATCCAATAAATAAATAAAGTCAAGTTCAAAGAAACAGAGTGGAATGATGCTGCCAGGGGTTAGGGGAGGGGGAAATGGTATCAAATGGGAAATGATCAACAGGCATGAAGTGCCGGTCGAGCAAGATGAGCACGCCCTAGAGATGTGCTGCACGCGCACTGTGCTTACAGTCGGCCCTACCGTCGAGTACGCTTAACATGCTTTCGGAGGACGGATCTCAGGCTAAGGGTTCTGACCACAATACAATGCAATGTCAAAAGCCAGAAAAAGGAACGAAGGGGATGGATTAGCCATGGGGCTGGGCTGGGTGGGGGGCGGGAAGGAGCACCTTTGAAGAAGTTGACAGCAAAGCCGGCTTTGTTAATGGATCCGTCAGAGACAAATTTGAGCCAGAGGCGGCTGGATGTGCTCTTGATGTCATCAGGCTTCTCGTAGCCACAGTAGCGTCCGATGAGGGTGCTGCTCTCACTGTGCCCGTCACGCACCTCCAGGTAGTCATAGGCACAGCTGTCGTGGCGCTCGATCTGAGGGTCGGGGGCTCGGTCAGCTGGAGGAGCGCTGGTTGCCAGGGCCCAACACCGGAAGCCCACGAAGAGGTGGGACCGAAGGGTCTCTGACCTACCTCGAAGGACTGGAAGGTGAGGCCCACGTGGAAGCCTTCAGACACCTGGATCCGCCAGATGCAGACTTTGCTGGGCCGGTAATCGTCAGGGTAATTGGGCGACTGGATGTGGCCATTGTCCTTCTTCACATCTCCCCCACAGATGGCTTTGGGGACACAGCGTGAGGTCAGTGAGAAAGCCCCTCTCTCCCCCTCCTCCAGACCTCCCCACGTCCCCCAGCTTCTTAGCGCCCCCGGGCCTGGCCAATCCCACCGGGATCTCTGCATCCTCCCTCATGGGCCCTCAACCTCGCCCCTGCGGTGCCAGGAGCAGGCGGTTCTGGGATGCCCGGGGACCCCATAGCTGACTCCTCCCTGTCACGCTTCCGCAGTACCTTCATAGACGGCAAAGAAGCCCTTTCCGACCCAGTTGCTGCTGCTGCGGAACTCCACCCAGAGGCGGCTGTCGGTGGAGACAATAGGCTCGGGTATTTTGCCCCCACAGAAGCGGCCTGTGCAGACAGTGTGCACAGAGGGCAGTGAGGCCTGAAGCAGGGCGCTCTCCCCTCCCTGCACCAGGAAGCCCGCCCTGCTGCTCCAGGGGCCTCAGGGGCTCTGGCCCTGCTCTGCACTTGGCACAAAATCCCAAGACCCTGCAGGTGGCCTGAGTCTGGTCCAAGACCTAGCAGGGCCCTGAAGAGCCAGAGCGTACCAGCCTTCTAGAGGGTTCTGTGCACTTGAGGGATGGAATATGAGTTCGGGGAGGAAAGGGGGCTCCTCACAATAACCAGCTGTATCTATGTTTTATTTACTTTTTCTTAAAGGAGCATATTGCCGTCATTACTTTTTTTTTTTTATCATTACTTTTCTTATTTGATCTCCATGCAAACAAGTAATCACCAAGAATGAACACAGCCTTTCTTTGTACATTACAAAATGTTTTCATGTGACCAAATGCAAGAGATGCCAGAGGGCCCCAAGTAAATCCTAGAATCTAGGGACTGGGTCAGAAAATGTCCCCTTTGAAATAAACCCTGACAAGGATCCGTGTCAGCAGATGAGGCTGGCCATTTGTGGAATCCTTTGTAGTCAAGAATCAATGAGGGATGACTGTGTGTTCCAAAGAAGACTGGGTATTTCCCAACCTTCGGCAAGGGACAGAGGGTGCTGACCTAGGAATGTAAGTTATGAAAAAGAAAGTGGAATCTTGGACACGCTACCACGTCTCCAGGAGGAAGTGTTGTAAAGACAGCTGCTTTGGGTGACTAATAAGAAATATTCAAATATCAGAAGAGATGGTTAGCAACGATTGGTCAGCCTGCTTCAGGCCCAGGACGTGGAACAAAGGTTCTAATGTTAATGGGCGGTCCTGGGCTTCCTAGGAGTATGTCCAGATTGGAAGAGGAGAATGCATACAGCTCCTCAGGCTTGAAGCAAAAGCCTCTCTTGGCCCTAACTCTATGCCATTAAAGCACCTTCTGTCCCGTGCTCTGACCACTCACCCCCCACTTACTCACCACTCCCCTCACCACCAAGGGACAAAGTCTCCTGTGCAAACAAGTTGGGGCCACTGTGCCAGGTAGGGAGCCCTCTGTGGTGTGCCAGCCTACCCTTAAGCCAGATCTTGCAGAGGGAGAAAATGGAGCCTCTGAAAGTGCCCAGACGAGGAAGAGAGCCTGGAGCTGTGGAGTTGTGCCTGTCTGTCTCCCTCTGTCACTTGTATGACTCCCGCGACCCACACACTGAGCATCACCTCTGTGGGAGGCCCAGAAGCCCGTACCGAGGACCCTGAGGTCCAGATCGGGGAAGGGACTAGAGATGGAGCTAGAAGGCACTAATTCTACTGGGACTCTTGGCTCCCACACCAGGGTGGCCAGATCACCCTTGGCCAGGCTTTGGGTTTCAGGGGAGGATGAAGAGACTGTGACCTAAGTAGTTCTAAGAAGGAATTAGCCTGTGCAATTCTGTCAGGTGAGGGAAACTGTCAACAAAACAAAAAAGCAATTTACTGAATGGGAGAAGATATTTGTAAATCATATATTAGATAAGGGATTAATATCCAAAATATATAAAGAATTTACACAAGTTAGTATCCAAAAACCAAACAACCCAATAAAAAATGGGCAGAGGATCTGAATAGACTTTTCTCCAAAGAAGCTGTAGAGATGGCCAATGGGCACATGAAAAGAGGCTCAATATCACTCATCATCAGGGAAATGCAAATCAAAACTACCATGAGATGTCACCTCACAGCGGTCACATTGGCTGGTGTCAAGAAGACAAGTGAGAACAGGTTTGAGGACGTGGTGCTAAGGGAACTCTGTGCACTGCTGGTGGGGACGTCAATCTGTGCAGCCACTGTGGAAAACAGTATGGAGCTTCCCCCAAAATTAAAAATAGAGCTGCCCTATGATCCAGCAATCCCACTTCCGGGTATTTATCCAAAGAACATGAAAACACCAATTCGGAGAGCTATGTGCACCCTCCTGCTCATCGCAACATTATTTACAACAGCCAAGAGATGGACACAGTAGATGAACAGATAACTAAGATGTGGGATAGCCATACAGTGGAATATTACTCAGCACAGAAAAGGGATGATATCTTGCCATTTGTGACAACACGGATGGCCCTGGGGGTATGGTGCTAAATGAAATAAAGACAAATACTGTATGATTTCATTTATATGTGGAGTCTAAAAACAAAACAAATGAACAGACTCATGGATACACAGAACAAACTGATGGGTGCCGGGGGCGGCGGGGGGGGGATAGACAGAATAGGTGTAAAAGGATTAAGAGATACAAGGTTCTAGCGACACACTTGATCGTAGCCAGAAGGCCGAGAAGCGATACAAGCTTCCAATTATAAAATAAATAAGGCATGGGGGATGTCAGGTACAGCACAGTGCATATAATCAATAATATTCTAATAACGTCGTATGGTGACAGATGGTAACTATTCCTATCCTGGGGACCATTTAGTGATGTATAAAAATATCCAATCACTATGATGTCCACCTGAAACTAAGAAGATATTGTATGTCAATCAGACTTCAATTTAAAACCCCGAAGGGCTCAGCCGCAGAGGAGGTGGGGGGCGGCCTAGTGCCATTACCTCGGAGGGGCGCCTTCCTCCAGAAGCCATCCCGGACCTCCACGTAGTCGTACCAGCACAGACGGCTGCGATACAGATCCATGGACGTGAAGTTCAGGATGATCTAGGGGACATGGGAAGAGGAGGAGGGTTACGGAGCCCCCCACGCCTCGCCAGCCCACGGCGGCGGCCTGCCTCCCCCTCTGTGAATAGTGAAGGGGTCCCAAAAATGAGCTCCGGGCACAGAAACGTCCCTCCTCTCCCCGGCTGTCTGCCAATGACGGCCAGCATTCTTCGCAGACATCCCGGCTCTCACCTAACATACGTGGCCTGATGGAATCTATATAAAATGTCTTATTTTACTGATCCCCTTCGTGAGGAGCCATTGCTTCTGGCTAAACCCTGCTCTCCTCGCAGTGGATTTAAGTAACACAAATCCAGCACCTTTAGAGGGATGAGGTCTCAGTGAGAGGAAGGGCCCAGGCAGCATGTGGGTAGCGGGGCTCTGAAATGAGAATGAAGGGTCCAGAGAGGAGAGGCAGAGAAGAAGGGCTGAGTCACCGGTGGTCACATATTTATGAACGCCGATTCCAGGCAGGGGGTCATGCTAGTGGCTGAGGGGAATACTGGATCCGAATCCTTCCTGTGAATGGGTTTAAGGTCTGTCCCTGTCCAGGGGCTTAGGATTCAGAAGGATATATACACCTGAAAAGCTCACTTAGTGAAAAAACTCAGACTCCACGCACATAGGCCTGAGTTGGAATGTCACCTCTGCATTTCCCGATGTGAGTCCTTGGGGGAATCACCCAAGCTCTCTGACCTCAGTGGCCTTGAGCATAACATGAGGAAAGAGCACCTCAGCCTGACACGGGAGCTCACGGCTACAGGCGCTGCCCTAAGTGCCTCCTGAGCATGAGCTCACGAACTGGTCACGTAATACTGGAGGGACGATTGACACTTCGGTAAGGTCCAACTCTCTCCAGCAGGTGGGCATATTAACAGGTAGAGAAGCACACTTTCCAGGAGAGAAATTGCTTTAGTAGTTTCCAGAATGCACCCCAAAGCCTCTTGTGTATTTAGAGTCCAACAAGCAGGGACTCCAGGGAACAGTTCCCTGTGACCTAAGAGGTGTGTACAGAGGACACACGATGGCCCAGAGGGCCCACCTGTTAGATCTAGCTGGCTTTCCTGCTGGAGGGAAAGAGGATAAGGAGATCCGTGTCCCCTGTGGCACCCTGCAGAGTTAGAGGCAGTCAGAGTGGAGGCGAGAATGGAAACCCCAAAGCCGGCACCAGCGACTGCGGTCCGTAGTTCAGTGAAGAGCTCTTGCTCGCAGTCACTTCCTGACACGGACATGGACTGCAGAATGTTCAGTGATTTCCACATCCACCCAGACGACCCTTCCCGTTTCCTGGCCTCTCCGCCATGACCTCCTCTCTCTACCTCTTCTCCACCACACCCGGCACATCATGCCCTAGACCCTGTTATCACCACTAACTGCGCACCCCCGCCACATAATCTCAGGTTCAAGAACCCCACTGTCCAACCACGGGCCCCCATCTCTCCTTGCCCACTGCTCTCTACGGAGTCCAACAACCCTTCCAATTCACCATGACCCTCAACAGGGGTTTTCCTGCCTTTTACCTTCACGTACATCTCTCCTTGCCTAGCTTGGAACCCACAGCCCATCCTGCTTCTTTTCTTTTGATTCGTACATGGGGTGAAATGTGTTTGCGTTTTGGGAAGTGTTTCTTAACTGTGGTACTCTGAGATGTAATCGAGTAAAACCATGTTTTGAAAAGTGCACTACATTACTCTTGATGATTATTATTAGCCATCATTGAGAGCTATTGTTATTATCAAGATAAAAGTCCTCATGGGCGCCTGGGTGGCTCAGTTGGTTAAAGCGACTGCCTTCGGCTCAGGTCATGATCCTGGAGTCCCTGGATCGAGTCCCACATCAGGCTCCCTGCTCAGCAGGGAGTCTGCTTCTCCCTCTGACCCTCACCCCTCTCATGCTCTCTCTCTTATTCTCTCTCTCTCAAATAAATAAATAAAATCTTAAAAAAAAAAAGATAAAAGTCCTCATATTTTGAAAAACTGACATTGAAAATCTGTTCTGGCTCTTGCTCTGGAGACAGACAGTGTGCCCAATATTTCATCTTTCTAGAAAATGCCCAAAGTAGGACACAGAGGAGGTGGCAAAGGCCTGGAGCAGTCATCTCACTTCAAAGCAAATCCATGGTCTATCTTTATCATCACCTCCTTACATAGGACCTCAACTCTCTTGATCCTCTTCCTGAAAACTGCACCCCTGGTTAAATCCGACTTTCTACCTACTCGGTGCTTCCCGGATGGTCAAATGTTGTGGCTAGAGAAAATACAGGCACGTTGACTGTTTCACTTGAAATGTGAGGTCGACTGGGCCCTTTGTGCTGCCAGGCACACTTTTAAATCCTCCTCTTCTCTCCTCAAACCACCTGTTCCCCTTCTTGATTCTCAGTCCTGGCCCTGCCATCATCTTTTCCCAAGATTAGTTTAATAGTCCCTACTCTTGATCCTACCTCTCACCACAGCAGACCTTTCATGATGTAATCGTATCTTACCTCCCCACTGCTCAAAATCCTTTCATGCTTGTTACTCAGAGTAAAATCCAAAGTCTTCACCATGTCCTCTAAGGTCATTTGTGGTCTAACCCCCTGCTATCTCTTTGACCCCATCTCCTACCAATCTCCTCCTTGCTTACTTGGCTCTGGCCACATTGGCCTTGCTGGTCCTCAAACACACCAAGCCTGCTCCTGCCTCAGGGCCTTTGCACTTGCTGCCTAGAAGCTCTTCCCAGCTATCTGCCCAAAGTGTTCCCTCATTTCCTGTCTATTTCTACTCCAACTCATCTGATGTGAATGAGGCCTTCCCACATGGAACAGTAACCCCCACTTCACTCCTTTATCTCCTACTGCTGATTTCCTTTGTGACATTTATCACCATCTAACCTACTGCATTTACTTTTTATTTGCTTGTCTGTCCCCCAACCCCGCCAAAATGTAAACCCTATGAGGACAGGAATTTTGTTTAATTCACTACGGAATCTTTGGTTCATGGCATGTAGTAGTTGCTTCATAAATATTTCTTGATTAGAATTTTGCTTTCAGGAATCTATTTTACAGATATACTTGCCCAAGTGTATAACGATCTAAGTCTTGAGATATTTATTGTAGTGATTTTGGTAATACTAAAAACTTAGAAAAAACTTAAATGAAACACCCATCAGTGGAGACCTGCAGGGGATGGCCGAGCAGTGAAATGGGGATGACAACATGCTAAGCAGCCATGAATACGTCTGAGGTAGAACTTGATTTGTGGACATGGAACCCTGACCACAATTAACTGCTGAGTGAAAGGCAAGTTACCTAAGACCACATATCCACACACATTCTTGGAAGGGCCTGGAAGGACATAGCAAGTGTTACTCATGCCTAGTCACCTCTGAAGAGTGGGATCTGGAGGAGGATCCAGGGGAGAATATTCACTTTTTACCTTATGAATGCCTCTATTTTTCAAAATTCTTACAACATGGATACATCATCCTTGTAGCTGACGAACATCAAAACTATCTTTTAAGGAGTTGCTGGACGGAAGAAGGAATGCAGAGGGCCCAGGGAGGGCACTCTGGTTCCTCAACTTACGCCCTTCACCACTATTCCATGTGGCCTCCCCGGGGCTGCCCATCAACTTGCTCAGCAGCTGTGCTGAGAACGGCAGCAACTTTCCCTTCATCCCCGGAAACAACTCTGGCTCTGTCCCGGGCAGATGAATTCACATCCTCTGAAGAGACCACACCCAGCCGGCGCAACCCCAAAGGGCCCACCCGGGACCTCCGACAGGGCAGGAGGAAGCAGTGGTCACCTCACTCAGGAGGAAGAGACCTGTGCTGGTGGTTAGGGGCATCCTCCAGGGAGGCACAGCCGTGGCTATATTGAGACCAGAGATGTCTAATTAAGCGTTGTAACAACTTCTGTCATGTGGAGAGAGCTGTGCTCTGGTGGCAGGGCCACTGCCCTGTGCCAAAGAAAACCTGGCCGGCTCTACCACTTCCTGGCTGGTGACTCTGGGCCCGTGGCTTGATTTCTTTGTGCCTCAAACATGGAGGCGATCCTAAGGCGCTGGGGGATTAAAGGAGACACCGAGTGCGGAGTCTCCAAGTGCACCCCGCATATGGGAAGTTCCCCTCACATTTGTTGGCTGCAGTTAGGGAGAGATTGGGACAATATGTCGACTCTTGGGGACCCACAGCCTGCCTTCCGTCTGCCTTTGCTGGACCACCTGAGGCTCATCATTTCACACCTCTGTGCCTCCATTTCCTTATTTGTAAGATGACAATGGTAATAGCACCTACCTCAAAGGACTCAGGGAGTTAATACACGTAAGGTTTATAACACTGACACGTGTATGAGTCACACATACAACATACATACATGCCACCCATATATACTACATATATACACTACAGTGTATGCCACTCCAAAAAAGATAATTTCACTATTGGAGCTGAATTCGCTTAAGATTTTGCAATCTGAGGGCGCCTGGGTGGCTCAGTTGGTTAAGCGACTGCCTTCGGCTCAGGTCATGATCCTGGAGTCCCTGGATCGAGTCCCGCATCAGGCTCCCTGCTCGGCGGGGAGTCTGCTTCTCCCTCTGACCCTCCCACCTCTCATGTACTCCCTCTCTCTCATTCTCTCTCTCTCAAATAAAAATAAATAAAATCTTAAAAAAAAAAAAAAGATTTTGCAATCTGAAACGGTTCATACCAGCATCTGGAAGTAGCGGGAGGCAGATGGGGGATGGGGGACGCAGGGAGGCTGACCAGGGATCGCTCCGTTAATAGAGTAAGACTACAGAATGATAGTAACAGCTAGCCTTGGTGGACCCGCACCACGAGCTAGGCGCTGCTCTAAGCACTTCACGTACATTAACTCGTCCAGTCCTCGTATCATCAGCCCCATGAGGGAGGCATTACCACCAGGCCCACGTTACAAATGGGGAAACGGAGGCACAGAGCGGTTAAGTAACTTCCCCGAGATCATACAACCGGTAAACAGCACGGCAGACCTGAGTCAGACCCAGGCCCTCTGGCTGTTAAACTCACACCCTGAACCACCACTCCATGTGGCCCCCCCCGGCCTGCCGCTCAATTTGGCCTAACAGCTGCTCAGAGAATGAGGGTCAGCTTCCCCTCACCCCCCCGCCACCCACGCCCCTCAGCACGGGGAAGCAGGCACTCAGGGGAGGGTCGGGCACAGGCCTTGCAGAGAAGGGAGGGCTCATCTCTGCCCAGCTGGGGGACAGGGGTGGGGGTCAGGGAAGGCATTACAGAGGAGGCGTGATTTGGGTTGGAACTTGAAGAATAGGCAGGCTATCACAAGGCAGGGATGGGAATGAGGGTGGACACTGCCAAATCCAAAAGACATTTTCAGTTCTTATCTTCTTGGCTCCCCTGCACAATAGACCATGATCTCCTGAAACCACTTTTCTGCTTATCAGGGGCTGGTTCTTGGCTTGGGAAATACTAAGTCCTCTTTGGGGCAGCTGCTAATGACGTGCAGTGCAGAGACTTGGGGGTCCTAAAAGAAGCCTTCCCAAGTGGCTCTTTCTTGTCTGACATCTCCCTGACTTGCATAACCGTATAAGATAACATTTACGTATCACTCGCACTTCTGGCAATAATCAGAGAAGTGGAGAGTGAGGCAAAACAACCTCTCAGCACAGAGGAGACATCAAAGTCCACGCCCGAACGCAGGCTGGTTTATTCCAGGGTGACTGTTGAAAGAGCGTAGACTTTGGAGTCGGACAGTCCTGGAACCCAATGCTGGTTCCACCGCAACTGCCTGTGTAAACTTGGGCAGAGCTACGCTCGCCCGCTGAGCCCCGACTCCTTCGTCTATACAGAAGGGACAACTGCATCCGCGCCACAAAACTGATGGGAGGAATAACGAGGTCGTGCGCACGAGATGTCTACTACTCCGCCTGGCACCTAATGGGTGCACAGCGAAGAATGGCGGCCGTGATGTCCCAAAGCCATCCTCCCCGGCTCCCCAGCCTCCGTGAGCCCTTAAAGGGCTCCTGTCCCCCGGGGGGCCCATCTCTGGCTCACTTACAACTCTACAATTGCATCCAGGACCGTGAGTGAGTTTAACTTTTTCTATCTCTGCAACCACGCACTGATGAATCTGGAATTTTTCTCTGTAGCCTCCTTCTCTCCCTGGTGGGGAGTCTCCTGGGAGTTGTGGAGAGAACAGTCCCAAGGCACACAGGGAGGCGCCTGGGGCCCGGCCATGTGTCTACTAGAGACCAGGGCCAGCCCGTTCCAGGTCAGAACCACAGGGAAGGAGACCGATCCCTGCTGACGGAGCAAATCTTCTGAATAGTAAAGACGGCAACGCTCTACCCTACTCCATGTTCCTCGGGTCCGGGACTATCTCGTGCCTCTTTCTGGCCCCCAGTGCTGGGCGAGTAGTGGGCACAGCGGTCTGTGGAAGCGCGCTTTAGCAACTGTTGATATGGGACAGGGCTTTAGAATACACAGTATTGCAATCATGGATTTTTGTGTCATAATCCAGTTTCTTGGGCAAGTTCCTTAATTTTTCCAAGTTTGCTCTCTCATATGCAAAATGGAGATAACATTAGCGGCAGCCCAGAATATCACTGTATTAATTACAAGACATAACACATAAAGAATTTAACACATGCCTGGCTGATAATGCGCTCAATAATCATTAGTCGTTTTTATTGTTATCAGCTGTGAGATCTCCAAAGGCTGCAGCAGCAGAGACCTTTGGCAGAAGGATAAAGGAAGCCAGGGCATGGTCAGAACAAGGCAGCAAAAGGACAGCAATTGTTAAGTTCAATTCAGAATTTAAAAAAAAAAAAAAAAGAACAAAGAGGGGATGGGTTCACTTTTGAGGGAAGATGACAGAATGTTAACTGCGAGAGGTGATGGAATTACTCAACCCTCAATAGAAGTCTAGCACAAATAAGAATGCTCTTGAAATTGCAAAAAATAAAATAAGCACAGTTTGGAAAGGAAATGGAAACCGAATCACATTGGAGGAGAGTCAGTGAGCACCTCTTTAAACTGGCTTTTGCCTCTAGGCTCCAAAATGACATCAGAGGACACTCAAATAACTTACAGATGTGATCAGTGTCTGTAATCTTGAGAACTCAGAACAAAAGCTTTGCCAATTTTCAAAAGGGGTGTGTGTGCGCGCATGCATGTGTGTGTTGGAAGGAGGGTTTGGAGTGAATTCTGGGAATCGCAAACCACTGAGTTGAACGTCAATGCCCAATTAAACAGTCTGCCGCCATTTAGAAAGGAGACACTTGATTACGAGGAACCAGTTCAGGTTCACTTGAAACAAAGCATATCAGACAAATGTCATTTCCTTTTTAAAAGGCGCTTTCCCAACTGGTGGAACAGTAGATTTGATTTGGTAAGGCAGTCCGTCTACATATTCAGCATTTATCAAGATGACAAAGGCATGGTTTGAGAAGCTCACTTCCCAGTCAACAAGGTCGTGGTAGTGACATTAAGTGGTGTCTCAGCCAGTGGAATAATTCTGCCCAAAGTCTGCAGATGAACCATGTCAGCTCAGAAAGGGATCTTGGATCTGCTTTGATTCATGTCACGTTCAATGTTTCTGTCAAAGACCAGGTTCCAAAGACCCAGAAGATATGCTTATCAAGAGCTCAGGACATAGTAAAAGAGGCGGTCACGTGCTGAACGGTGGACTCGGATTCCGAATGGTCTTGAGAGCTGTTGGACCGAACAACATGACCAGGAATAAAATCTAGTTGGGCTCGAGACTGCGCTAGCACATTAAGTGCCATGTTCCAATCAAGGGCAATAAAGTCTTAAAGCTGGCTCCTGGAAACAACCAAAATGCACGAAAGGACATGGAAAGTGCAGGGGTGGGTGAGAGGTCCAGAGTCCACATGAAAACCCTGTGGGTGAACCTGAGAAGTGCTTGGAAAAGTGCCTCTCGCGTAGCAAGTGCTCTCTGCGAGTCAGCCTTCATTTACAACAATTGCTAGAAGCCCCTCCTTGAGGCAGTGCTCCATTTCTTATGGGGTGAATGGGTCTACGTTTCCCAGGTAGGTCATTCACAGCCACAAACGACTATGCTTTCCTACTCTGGGGTCCTGGCAGAGGAGGGGACGCTCAGTTACCTTCTCCCCAGGTGTGACTGAGATGCGCCATACGCAGTGCATGTGGGCGGAGTAGCCATTGGGGTACTCAGGGGAGGAGAAGTTGCCTGTGCTGTCTTGTAGGGTCTCTCCGCAGGCTGTCAAGGAAAGGAAATGACTGAACTGCTGGCTGCAGATGCCCAATCCCCCCGCCTTCTGGCTTCCCGCCCTGTACTCTGGCATCCTTTGGGGGCGAGAAGAACGGCTGAGGAGGGGAGGGAGTCCAGGATGGTCCTGTCCCTTTAAGATGCCCTCCCTGCTCCTCACATATAAGCTCACACTGCTGACCTCTTCAGCCTAGTCCTACAGGATGCACTGTTGTCAAGGCAACAAGGTTTCCAGAGGTAAGGTCAAGCTCCTTCGGTGGCCTCACTCTACCTCACTCCCTGAGAACTGCTCTGCCAGCCCTCTTTACTGCTCCTACTGTCCTCTTCTCCCAGACGCCTGGAAGGTGTGGGGCTCAACATCTCACCACCACCCGATCCCAGCCCCAGTTTGGTTCCTTAACTTGAACAGTGCCCCTGCTTGGGTGCCCCCACCCCCAACACTGGGCAGCCTCTGGCCTTCTCTAAGACTCACAGCTTTAACCTCCTCAGCCCCAGATCCTGGCCCACTGGCTGCCTCAGGCTCTGTCCTCCATCCCTCCCTGGCCCGTCCCTCCCTGCCCCGACCTGGGCACTTGTAGAGCTTGCGGGCCTGGGCGATGTCCCCCTTGCTGAGCCGGGTCCTTTGACCGATGGGAGGTTTCACCCCATTGACCTCGTACTTGGGAACAATGGTGTCCAGGAAGATGCCCCTGAGGAGGAAAAGCCCGACCTGGGTGAGAGTCTGATGGAAGGAGGGGTGGCGTGCCTGTGTGCACCCAAGGTCACGATCCTGCCAGAGCCCAGACATTCCTCCGTAGGGTCAGGGACGGGTGGAGAGATCTCACCCTGTCATTATGCTGCCCACTGACCAGCAGCCACCCTGCTCCGTGGCAGTCACACAGCTGGAGCCTGGGGGAGCCCCAGGAATACTCTGGGATGTCAGGGACGCAGGTTTCGCATGCCCCGGGGACCTCCCGGTGCCCCTGTCAGTCTGGGCCCAGTCCCCAGCCTCAGGAGAGCTTCGGGCTCCTAGCGATCATGGGTCCAGCCTCTCCCAGCCCCTGCTTCCGCGGGCCCTCATGCTGAACCTCTCCTAGGACTACCAGGGCCAGTGCACATCCTATCACAGGCTGCTCTCGACAAGTTCCAGCGTGGCCGGACCAGACCCTGGGGACAGCCCCGCAACTCCTGATCCATCAGTGCCTCTTGTCCCCCCGAGTTCCTGCCTGCTAAGTCCTGGGTGTTGCCATCTGGGAGGAGCAGGGCAAAGGGAAGCAGGCGGCCCTCCACCTCCCCAGGGACCCTGACTCACACCCAGCTGGGTGGAACTCGGCAGGGGGTAGGGTAGGATGTGGTGGGAAATGTCCAGGGGAGGTCTGTGGCCGTGGAGGGGCGGGATGACCTCACCACCCTTCCTCGGTCTCTGTTCCCTCAGGTCTGGACGCGGGCGAGACTGAGGAGGGGCACTGTGTGCGGGACAGAGCAGGAGAGCAGACAGAGGATGAGGAAAGAGCCAGGCATGGGAAAGGCCAGGCCGGGAAGGGGAGCCTGAGGGAGAGGAGGGAGGGGCCGTTTCCCACACTCTAAGGAGAAGCTCGGGGTGCGGAGGCTGGGCCACTACCTCTGGGGGTTCTGGCTGTGATTTCTGGGAACGTGGGCCCAGGAAAGGGAGTCGGTGTGCGTGCGCTTGTGAGCAGGGAAGAGAGGCTAGTTCAGGCCAAGAGGGAGCCTTTGTACAAACTAGCCAGTTACAAAAAGGCAGACTGATTAGAAAGGATGCCCCCAATTAGAAAAACGTGCCTCTTTTGGCTGACAGATGAGGGAAAAAGCTCAGCTCCGCTGGACTGATACAGTTCTGGAACCACAGCATATATCTACGTGGCAGGCAGAGCGGCTGGATTTTCAGCCTCTTGGGCCAGGTGCCCTCGGGGTACACGGTACTAGGCTTTGTGAGCCCCGGCCGGGCCATGGACCCATCATGGAAGAGGACAGCAAGGCAGGTGGCTCCCACGGGTCCTCTGCTTGGGGGCTGCAGCCACCCAGAAGTCCACTCTTGTCCTTGGTGACTGCCCAAGCAGGGCAGCCTAGTGCAAAGCGAGAGGCCCAAAGAGAATGGCCTACAGAGGGCGGGATCGGGCTGCCCCAGAGGAGGCCAGGCCCCATCTCTCACCTGGAGAACGTGTTCCGGGCATAGTGCATGATACTGTCAAAATCATAGGTCTCCCCCAGGGACTCCACCTCCTGGAGCTCCATCTTCAAGAAGTTATACTCCTGCCCTGCGAAGACCAGGAAAAAGGTGTGGGGGGTGGGAGGGGTGGGTCTGTGTGGGGTGCAGTGCCACCTTTTCAGGGTGGGGAGTGGGGTCCTCCCTGCACTTGAGAGGTGCCCCCCTACCTGAGGGTCCGGGGAGCAGCCAAGGGGAGCCTGAGGGTAGGGGTGGGTCTCTAGAAGAGTCTGTCCAGCAGAGGGGCAGGGTCAACAAGGACTGGCTGGAGGGAAGGCTCAGGGAGTATGGAAAGGAAGCACCCATTTCTACAACCACAGGGAGATGAAAGCAGGGAAGTGTGGAGGAGGCCTGGGGAGGGAGGAAGGAAGCAGGAAGGGAGGGGAGGGAGGTAGCCAGGAGAAACAAGAAAGAAAAAAACCCTTAGAGAAGAGACCAGGCAGAGGGCAGAAGACTGGGGAAAAGTGAAGAGAAAGGCTGAGATGGCTTGGGGGATGTGCCAATTCCCCCCACAAACTACCCCCCACCCCAGGGCAGCTGGGCTCTGGCTGCTCCCGATGGCCTCTGTGTCCAGGACCAGGATCTCTCCCGGCCCTGCCAAGCAGCTCTACAACTGATCAAGGGTCTCAGAGATGCTACCGGCAGGGAGCCAATAGCATCTGGACCAACCTGGGCCCTGGACAAGGGCTGCCCACTAAGCTGACCAAAAGCGATGGCTCCAGGCAGCAGCTCCCACCCCGACCAGAGGCCCTGGAGCAGGTGCTGGGGCAGGTGCGCACACAGCTAGGCGCCAAGGTCAAGGTGCTACCTGGCTGGATGTTTTCGCGCACGATGGAGACGTGGCGGTCCCGGTCTGGCCGCGTGTGCTCGTGCCAGAAGCCGATGACATGGCCCAGTTCGTGGACAACGATGCCGAACTTGTCACAGTTCTTGCCGATTGAGATGGCCTGTGGGCCCCCGCCACGGCGACCCACGTAGGAGCAGCACCTGGAGGGCGGGGCCAGCTCAGGGGGGCGGTCCCGAGCTGGGGGAGTGCATCCACTCAGGGGCCGGGCGAGGCTGCCAGGGGGGCGGGGGAGTGAGGCGCGGGGGAGGGGCCTGAGCGTGGGATGCCCAGGCTGTGTGCAGGGGTCATAGCCACATCCAGGCGGCTCCTGGGGAGAAGTCCCAGGGGAGGGGGGTGGGAGGGAGACAGATGACGCAGTGTCAGGCCCCGTTGGGGCAGCAGCAGGGCCCAGGGCAGAATATGGCTTGGGTGGTGGCCGAGGGTGCAGTGCCCAGGGGCCCCTGCTCACCCGCAGGGTCTATAGGTGAATACAATATAGCTGTCCTCGTCAGTGCGCTCCAGGAAGGTGACACAGGTATGCTTCTCCCAGTGCCTCATGGCTTGCCGGAAGACTGCCCTCTGGCTGCCTGCCAGGATGAAGGGGACCAGGTTGTCACAGTGTCCAGCTGGGCCCATCTCCACCCATTGCTAGCTGTCAGCCTCTCACTGGACAGGTACACAGAAGGTACCACTCCTACCACGACACACGACCCGGCTGCCCCACGGCCAGGCCCAGATGCAGGCTGCTCCCCTGGCCCCCCAACATCACACGCACCAGTGAAGTTTCCCCCAATGACAAAGGGGATGACCCCATCGGGCCACACACGCTCTGGTCTGGATGTTGCTGCCCGCCGGCTCCGGGACCTGCCTCTCCATCTCCCACGGCTTCTCCTCTGCAGCTGCCCACTGGAGCTCTGGCAGTCGAAGGTAGAAGAATTTCCTTGGGTTGGAAGAGGAAGACATTGGTAGCAAGTGAATGAAGGGGCGGTGCAGGAAACAAATTATATAATCTATCCTCATTTAGGGGGAGTCCATATTTGCCCACTCACTAAAATTTATTTGTAATCCCAAAATCAATACCCTCAGCTCTCTCATGGTTTTTTGCTGACATGCACAGAGCAGGGAAAAGTGTGAGTCACCCACATGTCCAACTGAGGGGGAACAAGGTGACACCGCCTTCTTGTTTCAGCTCTCATACTGTCAATAAGTATCTTTTTCATAGTCTATTTAGTGCCAATTTTTTTGCATTTGGGGCTTTTTGCTGGTGACTTTGCTGTTTAAAATGACTCCCTTCCGCCCCGATGTGCTGAAGCATTGCCGTGCTGTCTGGTGTCCCGAGTGCTAGAAGGATTTGATGTGCCTTATGGAGAACATACATGTCTGTTAGTTACATAAGCTTTGTTCGGTCATGAGTCATACTGCTGCTGGCCATGGCTCAATGTTAATGAATCAACTGTGTATTAAATCAGGGGTCTTTAAACAGAAACACACGTAAGACAGGGTCACACATATGACGAGAAGCTAGCAGGAAGCGAACATTGTGTTTCTCCTAGGAGTGATGGATGGCTTAGGATTTGTGAATTCAGTGTTCGCAGTGACTTTATGGAACAAGGTTATCCTATAGCTCTATTCATAACTACCACGGGTTGGGGCACCTGGGTGGCTCAGTCGGTTAAGCGTCTGCCTTCGGCTCAGGTCATGATCCCGGGGTCCTGGGACCCAGCTCTGCGTCGGGCTCTCTGCTCAGCGGGGAGTCTGCTTCTCCCTCTCCCTCCGCTCCCCCCTCCCACTTGTGCTCTCTTTCTCTCTCTCTCTCAAATAAATAAAATCTTTAAAAAAAATAAAAAAAAAAAACTACCAGAGAGAGCGAGAATTGACCATAACTGAAAAGAAAACCATGGTGTCCTAATTTCCTAGGGATTGCAGGGGGCTTGAGACTAGGAAATGGTCCCTTCTCACTTAATAAAACTTCTTCCTTGTGAGCATATGGATCTTGATGTCTTTCAGTGTTCCCAAATACACGTTCTCCAGTGACATAGTAGCTCTCTGGGATGCACTGGGCAAGCATCACTATGTATATTTGACAGATGAGGAAACTGAGGCTGAAGATTTGCCCAAAGTCACCTGGTGGGTTCGTGGTGGGCCCAGGCGCTCCAACCCCTCCATTCTGCTGGTCCCCGCTGAGGCCCAGGAAGCCTTGCTAGTTATCAGGCCACCACGTCACCCTCCAGTGCCAGCTGCTCTCTGGGATTAGTTTGACCTTTACTCCACGGCTGCCTGTGCCACGAGCCTCCCTCGTGCAGGACAGGGCAACTGCTTGGCCCCAGCAGAGTGTGTGCAGCATGGGCTCCAGGTGAGAATCCCTGTCCCTGGCAATGGAGACCTCCCTGGAGGCAGCACCATGTTCCAGAGCAGTGACAAGGCTGGACAGAAACGAAACGGCCTGTGCCCTGACTCTTCCTCTTCTCTCACCCATTCACAAGGTCCAGGTGGGTTGCTAGCTGCTTGGGCCACACTCGGAGATGAGAAGGACCCATCCCTGACCTTGAAAAGCTTTGAGTCCAGCAGGGAAGATAAACGTATTAAAAAAGAAAAACCACTGAAACGTGGTTCACTGAGTGAGATACTAACATGGTCAACAGAGAGCAGAGAGAGAGCGAATGGAGGTATAGGCATGCTGGGGGGACGATCAGGGAAGGTTTCACCAGAGAAGCTCTGGAGCTGGGCTTGGAAAGATGCATAAAAGCTTGCAAAGTGGGAGCACGAGGTGAAGGCAGGAGGGACTGGGGTGTTGAGCAAAGAGCCTCAGATCTGGAGTGAGAAGGCTTGGGTTCCTGTCCCAGCTCTGCCACTGACCAGCTATGTGATCGTGAACAAGTCATGTTACCCCCATGGGTCTTAGTTTCTGTATCTGCAAGGCAGGGGTTGTCCTGACACCTACCTTTGCAGGTGGTTGGGGACAGTTAAGTTAGATAATGCTTTTGAAAGTCCTTTGTAAACTGTAAGCAAAAAGAATGTCAGTTCTGGCTCCTGGGTTTGTCTATACTTGCTGTTCCTCTGGGGGAAGGGATAAAGATATCCCAAGGGAAGACAAGCCATTATGCTGGGTTCAAGCTCATAGGCTCTGTCCTGAGAGGGCCTGGCTGGGAAACAGGGAGGTTCCTTGTTTCTCCAATTCTGGAACCCATTTCTGGGACATAGGAGACCCAGCCTGTACCCGGCGTACCTGCAGTTTTGATGGAAGACCTGTGCGTTGCCCGCTGCCTGAGATCTGCAGCCTGCTGTGCCTGGAAGGCCCTCAGGTCCTCCTCATCCAGGGCGATGTCCCCAAGGAAGGCAGCTAGAGAGAAAAGAAGAGGCCGGGGGAGTTAATCCTTCTACCCAGTACTGGCAGCCCCACTGCCAGGGGCTCCTCTATAGCAACTTTAGTCTGCAAATGCCTTCTGAGGAAGAAGGCAGCAGGGCACTGGCTTTGAGGATCCCTCGGGAGACTCGTGCTCACTTTGGAGTTGGGAATCCAGCAAAGCTGATACCCACCCCCTACCAGAGGAAGACACGGCCATGTCACTCTTCCCATCACTCTGAATACTTAGGAAGCACCTTCTGTGGGCCAGGCACCAGCCGAGTGATGCGCAAGATAGAAGAGGTCCCTGCTTGTGTAGAGCTAACCTTTGACAATACACAAATAAACAAACACTGAACTCAAGAATGGTGATGCGTGCTATGAAGAAAGCAGAAGGGGGTCAGATAACAGAGCGTCTACTCTGTGGGCCCATAACCCTGGTGCTGCGCTGAGCATGTGGTATTCACTCAACAAAGGCGGTTTCAAAGATGGAGGGGAGGATGTGAATAAGAACAGAGCAGAGAGGCATATGAGGGAAACCAGGACACATAACGGAGCTGCCCTGCCAGGAGGAAGAAGTTTAACTGTTCTCGAGGGACTCCTATTCTCAGTTTCAGGGTCCCTTCTCTGGAGGAAGGAAGGCCGGGGGGGTCATAGAGCCCCCTGAATAGGCCATTTTGACTTCTGGATCTGGGGAGAGATGTTTTTGGAGAGATGGGCTCAAGAATCCGCCTGCCTTTTGAGAAGTCCGGAGCAGGAGGAAGCTGGGGAGCTGAGTGCTCTGGAAGGAGCTCAGAAGCGAGCTTCACACCGGGCTGGGCTGGGGGAGGCGGGAGGCTGAGCTGGATGGGGGTGGAGCTCAGGGAGCAGCTTCCCTGAAGCTCCACCCACGGCAACATCTGCTTTTCATCCGAGTGCTACACAGGCCTGGCGGGCAGCATTACACAAATTATTTTAACCTTGAGGCCTTGCACACAGGTTTCTCCGCCCCAGATGGCCCACTGGGTGGACACACACACACACACTTCACCATACACAGAATCAGGCACATGGTGACATCCACAGCCATGCCCTCAAACACAGAGCTATGGAAGTCACAGAGATATGCTCCCCACTCCCATTCCCCCCAAGCAGCGCCGCACCACCCTTGCAGGTGGAAGGCACTCCAGAGTGTTTGTTCAAGTCAAGTATCACATCGATATTCTTTGGGCCTGCAAAGACACATGCCCATAGACACATACTCTGATGCAACCTAGACCTGGATTGACAGAACGTGGGAGTCCCCTCTAGCAGTTATCCAGGCCAACATTCCATTTTACAGATATGGAAACTGAGGCCTGGAAGGGAAATGATCTCCCACACTGCTAGTTGCTGGAGAGGCTGGATTCGTAACATGGGCCTCCTGATTCCCAGTCTAGCACTTGTTGTGTTCAAGTGCCTTACTGCTGTAGAACCCATATCGTAAATTCCCATACACAAAAATAGACACTCACGCAGACACACATTCACACACACACAAAATGCACGGTCACAGACAGTTCTAAAAAACACACATGCACAAGCTCCAACACACAGAGACTAACTGCAAGTTCTAAACCCAGTAAGCCAGTAATGGTAGCCATAATGACACCTTCCCAGTTGACAAAGTGCTTCCCCATTAATGAATTCATTTAATCCTGGCCCACTCAGGGCATGCCCGTTAAATCATGCTCCACCTGTGCATTTGCCTACGAGTGTGCAATTACAAACTCTTCGAGAGATAACCTCATGGCTAGATTCCAGCCCACCTCCCTGACTTCAGAGATCAGAACACTTGGGCCTAAGAAGGGAAATGACTTGCCCAAGGTCACCAGCTGGTAAGTGGCCCAGAATCTCTTCCACCACATGAGAAAGATTTTTTTTCCCATAAAATGTCACCATTGGGGGACTTGGCTCAGCAATTGATTGGATGGCAGCAGGAGACGTTTCTTAGCTGGCACGCAAAGGTGGTGGGATGAGAGGTGCACTCCGAGAAGACAATGCCAACATTCACACAGGCACACGCAGGCCACACGGATACCCTCACACCTTGACACACCTTTCACCTCTGCACAGACACTGACACCTCTGGGTTCACGTGCCCACACCCATGGGCACCATCATATACACACGTGGCTGCACATTTAGACTCGTCCTTGGACATGGCAGCAAAGCACAAAGTCTCTGTAGGCAGACAGACCTGTCTTTGAGTCCCAGCTTGGCTCCTATTAGCTGACAAGTCACAGAAACTCTTCTAAACCTCAATTTTCTCCTACATAAAAAGGCGCTAACGATAGAATCTGTCTCCCAGGATGACTGCATGAAATAAGGCATGTAAATAAAGCACGTAGCACAGAGCCTGGAACGCAGTAAGTACCCACTAAATGGTCACTGTTAATCTTACCCCCCAAACAGCCCCATAAGCTCAAGATCAGCTCTCCACTTTCCAAGGGCATATCGGTTCACCCCCATTGGCTTCCTGGCTGAGTGAAGCCCCAGAGTGCTCAGAAGCAGAACCTCGAATTCCAAGTACAGAGGCCACGGAACCGTGCTGGCCTGTGAGACCAGGGCGGTGTGGGGGGCAGGGCAAGCGGAAGGCGCAACAGGCCCTAGGATGGCCACAGAGCTCTTCTGCCGAGCGGGCGTCCTGTGGTGGGGATGTCATGGCTGAAGAATGTGTGGGAACAGAGTGGGGGTGGGGAGGCGTGGGGTGGGCAGGGGAGCCTTCTGGCCAGGAGTTGAGCCTGAAGGCCCTGCCCATTTGGGATTCCCCCATGGGGAAGCTAGGGAATCTGGATGCTGGAGAGTCCAGGACAACCCCCCTTACCCGGAAGGAAGTCCTGGGGTCAAGGTCAGGGTAGTAGTTGTTTTCAACACAGGATCAAAAGTTTGTTTTGTTTTCTGGCTGTAAACCAGCCGGGAGCACTCATGGCCACTCCATAGTCAGGCTGGGGGCAGGAGAGGAAAGAAAGAGTAAGGTGGACTTCGTGTGCCCATCCTCTAGGTAGGCCTCTTGGCTCCGGAGTCTCCTCCCCTGGGGCACGGCAAGGCATCCGCATACGCATGTCCCATCACACAAATGCAAGCTTCTTGCTGGGGGAGAACATACTCAAGCTCCCACGGACATGGGCACGTACTTAATCACAGCTGCATGCTGCTACACAGGTGCATATCTGCACACACCCCAACGTGTACTCAGGAATACCCACATGCACAGTTGGATGGACTTGCCCATAAAGCAGGAGTACACCCACAAACGTGCCCAAACACTCTCTTGACTACTTCCCTGTGCAAGCCCTAGTGTATTCAAACACACAAATTATTGCATGTACACATTTCACAGGCTATACCTCCCAAAGGTGAAGGGCACCCTTAGAAATGAATGGGGGGAGTGGAGAGAGAGACAGAGAGACAGAGAGATTAGCTGATTCCCCTGGATATCCTTAGGAGGCCCTTAGTGGCCTGAGTGACACATTCTACACCCGCCCCATCCTCCCCCAATATCTTCTGGAGAAACTAGAACTCTTGAGAGTTCCTTCTTTCTGGGGAGTCCCATTGGTCCCCCTCCATCTGGAGCCCAGGGAGATTCTAAGTCTTTTCCTCCTCCCTTGGGGGACCTAAAAGAGAAGGTGACTCAGGGAGCAGGGGCATAGGTGGGTGGGTGACTCATTCAGAGTGTCTGGAGGGGGAATGTGGTCTGGCAAGAGACTGGATCACTTCTCAACCTCCAAAACTTGTGACTGAGGCCTCTTGAAGTCCAAACCTGGGCAACAAGGCCCCTGGGGTGGGGACAGTGATGAGGGCTGGTAAGCTACTAGCCCACCTCATCTTCTCAGAGCAAGCAAACCTCTGAGCTGCCAGCTAGGGCCGAAGTAAGGTCCTCACTGGCTCAAGGGCACTCCCCAGGTGCTTCTCTGCCTCTGGGAGCAGCTGTGTCCCCATTCCTGCCTCCCGCATCTCTCCCAGAGCCCTGAGGCTCACTGCCAAGAGCTGGGAATCTCAGGGAAGATCCCCCTTGATGGTTTGGCATCCTAACATATAAGAAATCAGGGCTGATTCGCAATCTCCCTGGGCAAGGGGTAGAGAAGGAAAGAGAGAGAGACAGAGAGAGCTCATATGTGCACATGAGGGCCTGCACACCAGAGAATGAGCTTGGTGGAACCAGCTCTCAGCACACACATAGAACAACTCTGCTTCCCGCCTATTGTTCTAGTGTTGCCCAGAAGATCCAGGAAACTCTCCAGGGTATCAGGGGTCTTAATTTTGCCTTACTGCCCTCAATTTTGCCCTACCTCTGACAGTAAGTGCAGGAGGTAAACTCAAATGAAGGGGCCTGGTTATCCTGAAAGGTGAGCCAGGGGATTCAACAGGACTTTCATTCTTGGTCCTCCGTGTGCAAGGAGGAGAAGAGGAGAGAGCTGGAAAGGGTGAAGGGAGCAGAGCTAAGCAGGCAGATCAGGGGCACCCAAAGGAGGCAAAGCCTGGTGCTCCTGCCATCATCACATCTAGCACCTGGACGGCGGGGCTTAGAGGGAGCAAGAGGACACAGCAACATGAACAGAGAGAAGAGCCTAGGGACGCAAGGTGTGAGGCTGTTGGCGTGGGGTCTTAGGGAGTCAGGGTGGAGGTAGGCAAGGCTGCAGCAGTCACCCCCAGGAGGGAGGCCTGGATCTGACCCTGACTCTTGGCCTTGTCAGGCTCTCGGGCCCTCTCGGCCACCCCCAGGCCTGGCCCAGCTCCCCATCAGCCTCACTTCACCCTGGGGCAGAGCCTTCTCCAGAGCCCTTGTTTGAAGTTCCAACTCAGCCAGCCCCACCCTAGCATGAAATCTGAGACTGGGGATAGAGCCTCAGCCTCCTGCCGCCTCCTCCGAAAATCACTCCAAATCCCTCCAGGAGTGAAATACATCAGATTGACTTCCTACCCATTCTTCAAGGCCTTCCCTCCTCCATGACGAACCCCCAAACCTTCCCAGCCTGCTGTGAGCCGTGGTTCTCTGCCACTGCCACCGCCAGGCCTGCAGAGGGGTAAGGGGCTCCTTGAGCCTTTAAGCCCTTTCCTCCCAAGGTGGCACAGAACGCCTCTTGGTTGGTGCGGTTGGTTACATCCCCACGCGTCTTATGCCCCTCCCAGACTGGAAGCCCTTTGAGGGCAGGGGCCATGTCTTACACTTTTCTGTATCTCCCCCAACATGAAGCCCAGGGCCTGGCACATATTATAAGCATTCAGTCCATGTAGATCAGCTGAATGAATAAGTGACACAAGGACAGGGACAGGGAGACACTCCCTTCCAGCAAACCCAGCCCATTCCCTCAGAAAAAAATGAAGTGAGAGTGTGAGGCACAGAAAACAGGGGAATAGGCAGCAAACATTTATTGCTTACTGTGTGTTAATCTCTAATAAGTGTTTTATATATATTCTCATATTTAATCCTTGCCATCAACTCTACAGAGAGACATATTATCAGTTCCATTTTACAGGTGAGAAAAGCAAAGTTCAGAGATGATAATTAACATTCCCCAGGCAGTAGAGCTAATGAGTTGTGGGTCCAGGATTGACAGCTTAGGTCTGCCTGCCTCCAAAGCCCAAGCTCCATCCGCTTAGCCTCATGCCCACTCCAAGCCCAGGGAGAAAGATGATGGCTAATGTCTGGTTTACCCACAACCCAGCAAGGGTGGAGAAAGGCTGAGATTTGGCTTCTCCTCCCACTGGAAGAAGGGTCTACCTCTTCTGTAGGTTGCTGTGTGTGATGCATTCACCCAAAGTAGGGAGCCCAGGGTCAGGACTAGAGGGACCCAACCTCTTATACCACATACAGGCACTCCTAGAACTCTAGGGACTGGGCCACTACCCCTGTCCCTGGTTATTTGGAGACAGGCTGAAATCAGAGGCAGGAAGTTGAGGAAAGATTCTGATGATATCTTATGGCCTGTGTGTTCTCTTGTCCCAGGCAGCCTGTTCAGGGTCATCTGATTAGGCAAATGGCCTGAGTGCCTGGCCATCTGGTCACTCCAGGGGCAAGACCCCTCTGGGCCCAGCAGGAGTGAAGGGGTTACATGGGGTCTACATGGACAAAGAACACACACACATACACAAACACACACTCTGGGGCCCTGACCTCAGCTAATTAGCCTCCAGTGTCTGTGGACTAAGAGAGCGGATACACAGTATTTGAGTTCTCTGTGTTTTTCCCCTTTCCACCCCAACTTGGCCTTGGTAGGTACTTCTGGCACCTAAGGGCAGAGGTAATCCCCCCTCCCTGGCTGGCTTCTCTAACTTTGACAGCTGTCTCCTCTGTCCCAGAAGGCTGCTGTGTCTGGTGGGGGGACCATGGGACACCCAGGGAGCATGACATCAGAGGATCCCTTGAAAAACTTTCTTCTTTCACTTGGGCTGGGTAGGGGCCTCAGGAGACTTGCTCCTCGGAGATGCAGGCCTCCCGCACCCCCTGGGCAGACAGATGTGCAGCCTGGGGGCAGCCCAGACAGGCTGGAAAACAGCAACGTCCTGGAGCCCGAGATGGGGGACAAGGGAAAAGTGCACACACACACAGGCACACAGGCACACACACGGACACACACACACACACACACACACGGGAGTTTGGCCAGAAAAGTTTCCTGCAGGAGGAAAAGCCTCCTTGGCCGCAGGTTTCTCCCTGGACCCAAAGAGCTTGTCCCAGGAATCTTCTGGGAAGAGAGGGCAGCGGCAGCAGCTTCCACAAATAGCAGCACAACTTCAGTCCTAAAAGTCCCCCAAACTTCCCCCTCCCTCTCTCCCTCTTTCTTTTGTTCCCCACTGCATTGCCAACCAGGCAGCTCCCGGCTTCCCACACTGGACTGTCCTCCCCCAACCCCAAACCCTCAGCAGCCCGCGCCTCCCCGCGGGGCCTGCCCGCGCCCCGGCCCCAGGCGCCCCGGCCGGTCGGCGGGGTGGGGGGCGCCTACCCGCCTTGCAGGGGTCTTTGTAGCCGACGGGCTCCGAGTCGTCCTCCTCCCCCAGGTCATAGGTGTAGTCGGCCAAGTCCAGCGGCCGGCCCGGGCGCGGCAGCAGCAGCAGCCAGAGCAGGAGCGGCAGCGGCAGGCGGGCCACGCCGGGCATGCTGGAGGGCGCGGCGGCGGCAGGAGCGGTGGCGGCGGCGGCGGCGGCGGCGGCGGCGGCGGCGGCGGGGGCGGCGGCGGCGGGTCGCGCCCGGACGCGGGAGCCGGCGAGAGGGGAAGCGGAGGACTGGCGGCGAGGGGAGGGCGCTCCCCTCCGCTCGCCCGCGCGCTCCCTCCCCGCGCTGCCCCCCCTCGCGCGTCCCTACCTCTCCCCCTTCCCTGTCCTCGCCCCCCTCCTTCCTGTCTCCCGCCCCCTCTCCGGCCCGGCTCCTCGGCCCTCTCCCTGCGCCTCCAGCCTTCTCCGCTCCCTTCCCTTCTTTTCCTCTTTCCTTCTCTCCTCCCTCCCTCCCCCCCCCCTTTTAGGGAAATGAGCTCGCTGGAAGGCGGGTTTTCGCCCGGAGCTCGGCCCCCCTCGGGTCCGGGACAGCGCACGGCCGGGCCGGGCGGCGCGCCAGCCGGGGGCGGGGACCGCGGGAGCAGGCCCGCCCCGGGAGGGGGCTCGGGCGGCCCGGGGCGCGGGCCGGCGGGGCCGAGGAGGGGGCGCCGGGCCCCGAGGTGCCCGGCCGACGGCCGCTCCCGCGAGGTGCCCTCTAGCGGCGGCTCGTCACGCGGGCGCGGGGCCCGAGTCCGGTCCCGGGCAGCGGGACACGCTGTCAGGTCGCTCCGCTGCTTCTGCCCACCTCCGCCCCCTCGGTCTCTGCGTTTCTCTGCCTGCGTCTCTCGGTTGCTCGGTCTCAGCCTTTCTCGGACCCTCGCCCTCTCCCATCGCGGTCCCTGTCTCTCTAGTTCTGTCGGTCTCTGGCTGTCTCTGTCTCTCGTCCTCCCTTGGGAGATACCACTGGAGGGCGCCTAAAGCCCGTGGATTGCCCAGTCCCCTCGCCACTGCCCCCTGTCCCCCATCACGCCCTGACCGGGGTGGGGGGGGAGGGGAAAGCCCCGTCGTTCCCCCAGGGCCCTCCCCTGCCCCTAACTGGCCCCACCAGGAGCAGGACTGAGGGCGTGTGGGAAGATGCAAGAGGTGCACCCTTTGTTTTTCAATCAGGCTGCTTTATTCTTTCGTGGTAGGAGCCCCTTGGCCCTAGGAGCCGTATCTCTTCTGCCCGCTCCCACCTCTCCCCACAGCTCCCATTTCTCCAGCTCCAGTCCCTGTGGTGTGGGTAGGAGCAGCTTGCTATCTCTCTGCAAAAGACCTTTAGCGCATGGATCTTTCCTCTTCACTTGGGGCTTCCACAGGCCCTGAGAAGCAAAGAAACACTGTTTATTATGTGAGGGAGAGGGACTGGGAGGGGGCGGTCTATGAACTTCCCTCCCCTGAGCTCCCTAGATGGCCCAGCTCAGTGGATTCCCCAGTTCCTGGTCAGCTGACATGGCAAGGTGGCGCAAGCCTTCCTGGGCCACTGCTGCTCGGGGCCCTAGCAGTCACACCTGCTCACCTGAGGGGTCCTAGATGTAGTAGAGGGGCACCTCGCCACACAGGGTGCTCACTGTGGTGCCCAGGAAGTCCAGGTCCCCAGGGGATGCTGAGCGAGCATCATGGCCCTCCTCCTGGCCCAGCTTGGAGGTAGACACTGCAGGCTTGACCTGGAAAGAGCACCTAATTTGGAGCCTGGGAACTGAGTTTCTGTCTCACCTATGGCATTATTGTGGGACCTCAGGTGTGTCAGGCCATCTCTCCAAGCCTCCGAAAAGCCCTGCTTTCCTCACCAGTGAAGAGGGGGCTGTGCTGGAGTCAGAAGCCCCCGGGGAGTGAGGTTCAGCTGAGGCCAGCAGCTTGGCATCAGGGAAGGACTGGGGAATTGGTAGGGAAGATGTGGTACAGGTGAGTTTAGAGACGGGCACCTACCTGGCAGCCCCCACGCTTTACAGGTGGCAAATAGCTGTCATCTCAAATGCTCCTCCCAGCAGCCCTGGGAAGGGGACAACCCACTCCTCCTCACCCACACACCTACCTGGAAGTTCTGGAACTTTCTAGTGAGAGCCTCAAGACTTGGGATGTTCTCCGGAGCCATCTTCATGACATAGCAACAGGTTCCTGGGGCTGGCTTATAGGCAATCAGGAGCTGAGCACAGGAAGCCCAGAGTTCATTCAAGAAGGCCCTGCCTCGCTCACTCCCTAACCCTGATCCTGGGCCATCTCCCTCTAGGTTAGGCACCTGAGGGAGTCCTATTGGAATCTGGGGCTCAGCCTGGGGAGGCAAAAGGGCTAGGGGCTGGGGAGAGATGGATGTGCATGAAGTGGCACAGCTGGGTGGCCTAGCAGTCTTGTCATTGGCCCCCAGCCCCAGCCCCAGGATCAGGAAGTCCGGTATACCCACCCGCTGGTAGTCATACACTACAATACCACTGGAGCCAATGGGGAAGGTGGCAGTGGTGCCCGCACGCTCCTGCAGGGCCAGGCGCTGCTGGGCTTCTGGTCCCCCAATGCTCATCTCCAGAACCTGGGGGAGGGCACAGGGTGGCCTGGTATTTCTCTTTCCCCACTCATCCCTTCAGTCCCCATGTCCACCCTCAGCTCTAAAGCCTAAGCCGGAGTTGCCACCCTGTTCCTGCTTCTGTCCTTTCTTGAGGCACCCCTTGCCTCCTCCCCTCCATTCCCCCACCCCCCGACAGTTCACTCTCTGCCCAGCCCGCCCAGCCCCTCTGTTTGGCGTGTCCTCTACCCACTGCCCACCCCATTCTGGGCCTGCTCACCATCTCAGTGTGCTTCTGGCTCATGTGAAGACCCATTAGCAGGGCCCCTACAATCACCACGACCACAAGGACTATCACCACGACCACGATGAGAAGGCGTTTGAGGCTCACAGGGCAGCAGGGGATGATGCCAAAACGGCCCTGGTTGGCTGCCGAGTAGTCCTGACGTGGTGGGACAGGCAGGGAGACAGGTATGAGGTCATGAGCAGGGCCCTTCTTCTCTCTGCACAAGCTAGACACCCTCCCAGAGCCGGACACCAATGCTATGGGTTTGCAGAGGAGGGCTGAGATCAGAGAAGGCTTCTTGGAGGAGGTGGTCTGGATTCCAACAGAAAGGCTTAAACATGAAGTCTAGCGTGGAGAGACCCAAGGGAGCCTGCTTCGCCAGTCTCATCTCCTGCTGTTTCCTCCAGACCCCTGGCACCCCAGCCATCCCCATCCCTCTCTGTTCCCCCAAATAATCCATGCTCTCTCACACCTCCCTGCCTTTACACATTCTACCCCTTCCTCCTGCAATGCTTGCCTTCTCCACCTAGTGAGCTCCTACCTATTCTTCTGGAGCCAGCTCAAATGTCCTTTTCTCTGTGAAGCTTCCTGTGACTCCCCGCATAGTGTCTGCTTACGCGGTGCTCTCTGCAGCCCTTTCCACTGACCACTGTGGTGGCTCTCGGCCCCTCACGTTGGAATGATCAGTTGCCATGTCCATCTCCCCGAAGGACTCTGCCTTAGTGGTTGGTGTCCCTGCCCTAACTTAGCACGGTCCTAGGTTAATGAAGTGAATGAAGGTGGATGAAGACACCGGCTCAGAGAGCTTGGATGAGGCAGGGCCCAGCTCACACACATGTACACACACGGTCATACTCACTGGCGGGCTCTCAATCAGGACCTCCTTGCTGCCCACGTCCATCTTGCTGTAGGCGCCTTCCCCTCTCATCTCCCAAGTGTGACTAGGGTCTTATATGTGCTGGTAGGGAGAGGGGACAGAGGTGAAGGATCCGGCCTCCTTCTGCCAGCTAAGCCCTTGGCTTTGAAGCCTGTTTGTTCCTGGCCCTCCAGAACTGAGGTCCCGATAAGCCAGCTGCGAGAGCGCCTGAGGGCCCTTGGCCCTGGCCCATGAGTCCTCTTGGCCCTGGCCAGAGCAAAGCTGGGTGTGCTGAGCAAACTTGCCCTTGGGCAATCTGCACCTCCCACTGTAGGTGTCTTCCTGGCATTGGCCGCCTTTCTTGCTGGCACCTGCCCCTGCAGTCTTGTGGCTTTTCCTGTCCCTCTGCCAGGTTGAACCTCTCAGGCAGCCAGGGGTCTGACCCAATGGGGAGTCCACCACACTTCCCAACAGAATTCCCCCCGTGCAGAGGGATGAGCTCCAGGAAGGGGAGTGAGAAGGCAGTGCCTGTGGACCCAGGAGGCCCTGTTAAGGCAGATGGATGCTTTGGCATCAGTGTGGGGGTTCATATGTGGCCATTTCTCAGAGAGCCTCACATTTCACTTCAAGTATGCCACCTGCCTGGCCTCCACCCACACATCTGGTACCTAACCTCAAACTTGCCGCTAGTCATTCTTTTCCTAATTCTGAAAACTGTCCCCTCTGGCTATAAATTTTTGCCTACTAATGTGTGGTTTTTCATCCTTTGCTATGGGCATGTTTGGAAGCTAAAGGCTTTCCCCCCCTGCTTTTACTTTTATTCACATTTATTTTATGCTGAATTTATTCCCAGGCCATACGTGGTTGTTTCTCCAGTTTCTTGTGGGCTTTCTCATCTGTGCCACCTCCTCTTCTGGGTTGGGAACAATCTGCTCTGTTTCAGGAAGGATCATCTCAATGTGGCAAGGAGAGCCCATGCAGGGGTTAATCCGACCAGGAGCTCTGTAAACTTAATGGCTCATTTGGGGGCTCTGTTCACCTGGATGTGCTCAATGACCAGAGAATCTACATCTAAACCCTTAAGTTCAGCATTACTCTCTGCATTTGTAAGCATGCGCAGCAACAGTTCAGCACTCTTTTCAGGCTGCTGGCCCTGTGTCCAGCCCCACTATTGGGCCCCGGGCACACCTATCAGCTCCACCATTATAATGATGGAATGGCCCACATTGTTTCTGTAAAGTGACTCCAGATACTTGGTGGCTTTGGGGATATACCTGCCCTTGATGATCTGGGCAGTTTCATGAGTGCTCTTAAAATGAATGTGAAGATTTGAACCTCTTGATGGGAATGATTTTGTCGGGTTCTCTGCATCAAGTAAACAGGGAACCATTTTTGATAGCAGATTCCACACCTGACACTCGTTTCTTGTGCCCAGACAGCCTTGCACAGGGCTGGCTGCAGTGACTGATGGGATCCCCATCTCCTCATTCTGGAATCTCACCTGCTTGGTGCTGCCTATGACCCTATCCCTCTAGGCTCCTCTGTTTATACCCTCGGATCCTAAATTTGCCCTGAGAATGCTCCTCACCCCAATGTGATGCACTTTCTGGACCTTCTCCTTCTCCCTTCCATCTCTTTTACCTCCTTCCTCAAAGCCACTTCTGTTGCTTGGTTGTACTAAACTAAATCGACCAATGGCTGCATCCTCTCTTGAGCTTTCCTCCACTTGCTGGGCCAGGTGGTCTCTACGGTGCCTTTCCCTTGGAACTTTCTAAGTGTCGAAGTCAGAGCCCCACCCTCACTCCTCTGGGCCTAACTCCCTTAGCCTCCTGATACTTAAGCTCCAACACTTCACCCCAGTTCCTGTCCCTGGCCTGGGGGCTCCCTTACACCTTGGCCCTGCCCTTCAATCATGAGCTGGCCCCCAGCTCTCCAGCCTTGGAGGGTTGCCCTGTCCCCACGAGGACCTCCTCTTCAGCAGGAGAGCCTTCAGCCTCCAGGTTGCACAACAGCATGGCATCTGAGCTGAGAGTGCCTGAGAAGCTCAGGGAAGGAGAGAGGGGAGGGGAGGGAGTGTTTGCTCCCACCCCCCTCCTCACCCCCCCCAACTGCCCCTTTAAATATTTGCTGAAACCTCTAGCAGCAAGTGTCCTAGGAGCAGTGGTGGGGGTGGGGTCCAGGGAGGAGGGGGAGGCATCCTCCTCTCAACCGTGTGCAGCCTCCGCTGGGGTATGCAGGAGCCGGATGTAGGAGACCGCTGCCTGTGGTGCCCACCCCTGCCCGCCCCCAGCGCGCCCACTCCCGCCCCGGGTTGTCCTGGCAACGCTGCGATTGATTGGCTGACTCACACGCACTGGGCCTGAGCCAGGAGGGCAGCGGGCCAGCAGGAGAGCCAGGGAGGACTGCAAGCATCTCGGGGTCCCTGCGGGCATCTCAGGGGGCCGCATGGTCCAGCTGTGGAGCTTGTTCCGAACGGGCGCTGTGTGTAGGGCTTGCCATCATCAGCTGGTGCTGAGAAAGGAGTCTCTCTTGGAAAGAAGCCTCTGCTCTCTCAGGTCCTCAGTCTCCCCTGCAGGCTGCCCTTTGGCTGTAATTCTCACAAGCTTTGTGGTTTTTCTTTTCTTTTTCTTTTTTCTTCCACTTGTTTTTGCCTGTTTGGAGGTTGGGGAAAGAAGGTTGCCCTCAAGTTTCATAAGGGGAGTTCAGATGCTAGCACCAACCCCTCTGGCACTGACCCAGTAGAGGTCTTGGGGTCCTCATCTTCGTTTTCAGGAAACGAGGAGGGACCTTTAGCTGGGCATGGATAGCTGTCCCCCGCCCCCCCCCGCCCCCCTCCCCACACCCCACACCAGCCCTCTGCTGCAGACTTCTCACATCTTGGCCTTTACTTAGGCCGTTTCTCCCTCCTGGAAATCCCACCTTCGATGCCTCTCCACCTCTCCGAGTGCCATCAGCCCTACAAGGCCAGGCAAGAGCCAACGGCAGCTGCCCCACCACCTCACTGGCCCAGGCTACGGTGCCCCCCTCCCTCCTCCAAAATCTCCTGGCCTCCTGCTGCCCTTTCACCTGCCATTTAGCACACACTGCTGTTCTCATCAGTTATGTGGGAGTTTTGGTGTTGCCCTATCTTCCCTGGGACTGGCCCTGAGACCATGCTTTCCTGAGGTTTCTTTGTACCTGCTGCAGGGCAAGGAGCACGACACAGCCAACATGTAATTATATTCAAGGATAGGATGGTCACCAAACATGAAGGGGCTCCAGGTGAGCGGTCAAGAGTTCATTTCTTCAGCATGTGGAAGTCTTGCTGCTTCACTGGCCAGCTCTGGGACCCTGAATGAATCCGTCTTTCTGCCTTTCCAGGCTTGAGTGTGTTCAACTGTGAAATGGGACTAGTCTGCCTATCCTGTCCCCCTCTCCAAGCTGTTGTGAAGATCCAATGACATCATCAATCCAATCATCATGATTATCATCATCTACTTCATCCCCCAAAACACCTCTTCTCGCTAGCTGAGAATAGGGCCCAGACTCCCCCTCTCTGTCTGTCTCTGGGCTAAATCCCTCTGGGAGAACTGTAGGTGATGCAGAGCCACCCCTTCTATGTGAGCCTTTTCTTTTCCCCCTTCCAGCTCCTCAGCTGCAGGGGCTGGGACAAGATTCACTCTGCCCTTTGTGCGCTGGGCAGAGCCGTGCCAGGGACGGGTGGGGATGGTACCCAGCTGCCCCGGCCGCCCTCCCCATCCCCATTGCTTGTCTTCCCTCACGCTGGCATACAGAGAGCTGCACGAGCAGCTGGATGGGCAGTGGCAAGTGAGCATCAGAGGGACGGGGCATCCCTGCTTGAGAGAACATGGACAGACGTAAGCTCCAATCAGAGAAGCCCCTGTTGGCAGAGGCTGGGGACAGCTGGGGACACATCTTAAACCCAGTGATCTCAGTTTCCTGGCCTGATATAGAAAGAACACTAGACTGGGAGCCCATTCACCTGACTTCCAGGCTCCCCTGGTCCTGTACCCCCGAACTTTTGGCACAGTCAATCCCGCACACAGACCGCCCCCCCCCCCCCCAGGGAGGTAACACAGCGGAGAGCAGCAGTTCTCAAACATTTTGGTTTCAGGACCCCTTAACATTCTTAAAAAATATGGAGGACTCCAAAGAGCTTTTGTTTATGTGGGTTATAGCTATTGATATTTACCATATGGATATTTACTGAGAAATTGAAAAGGGTTAATTAATTAATTAATGAAATTGCAATAACAAACCCATTCTATGTTTTAAGATAAATAACACAAATTTAAAAAAAATTATTTTACAAAGCAAAAAATTAGACAAGAGTGTCATTGTTTACATTTTTGCAAATCTCTTTATTTTTTTAAATATTTATTTATTTATTTAGAGAGAGCATGACAGAGGGAGAAGGAGAGAATCCTCAAGCAGACCCCCTGCTGAGCGCTGAGCCCCACACAGGGCTCGATCCCAGGACCCTGATATCATGACCTGAGCCAAAATCAACTTAACCAACTGAGCCACCCAGGTACCCCTTGCAAATCTCTTTAATTTCTGGCTTAGTAAGAAGATACATCATGTAGCCTCTGGACAATTCCAGGGTATTTTCGTGAGAGTGTGAAAGTGAAAAAGTAAAATTAAGTTTTAACATTCTTAGGACAATTGTTTTGACCTCAGTGACTCCCTGGAAGGTTCTCCTGGACTCCCTGGACCACACTTTGGAAACACCTGGTATAGAAGTATGACTGTGGGGGCGTCTGGGTGGCTCAGTCGGTTAAGTGTCTGCCTTTGGCTCAGGTCATGATCCCAGGTTCCTGGGATCGGGTAAGATGTTGGGCTCCCTGCTCAGTGGGGAGCCTGCTTCTCCCTCTGCCTGCCATTCTCCCTGCCTGTGCTCTCTCTCTCAAATAAATATAAAAAAAATCTTAAAAAAAAAAAAAAGTACGACTATGAAATTTGGAGTTGGGCAGAGTGGGTTGAAATCCTTGTTCTGTCCCTTTCTTTGGGTACTACCAGCCTCACCTCTCTTATCTGTAAAAAGGGATTCATATCATCCACCTTAAAAGTTT